CACATATTTCAATAAACACAAGGGTCATTTTGCAACACAACGTTATTTTTCTTTATATTTATGCTTGTATAGCACGGTCTATGCTAAAGTACATCGTGAGTGTGCTACGCGATGTGTTTTATTATTTTATAATATCGAAACGAAATATACTTTCAACATATAGAAGAGTGCGAACAATCTGAAATTTCTTCAATGCTTTCACCATCTCAAAGCTTATAATTATAATATTAATAAATACGTCAGTATAAGCTGCTACAGAACAGGGATATAGAATGATTCTTCGCCTGTCGTTAGAAATTCAAATATTTGATAAATCAATTAAAAATAGCTCTATTTTATTTTTTATGTATTAAATTACAGGCATTACATGCATTAAAAATTTATTCCTAACAATGGAACAAATGGTTTTGCACTCCAAATTTTCCACACTCATTCCGTCGTATATCGCTCTTGCATCCTTTAGATGTATAAAGGAGAGCGCAGATACATTCAGCTATAGAAGTGATCATTGGAGCCGGCAGTACAGACGGAGGATGCGCGTGCGCACGTCGCCGGCCGCGCTGTACAGATGTGGTCTGTCCTTCATAGTAATAATAACGTATATTTGTAACAATGTACAGATTCCACAAGCCCTTAATTCCCCGTACATGGAATGCGATAGATATATATATATTATGTATATATAAAACGTACACGGTTTCTGTACGTCACGGCTGACACCCGCAGCGTTACACTTCACTTATATATAATAATTATACAGATATAATATACATAATTGTAGAACGATTTGTCCATCAAAATAATTTTATTAGTTTTATATCCTTTTTAAAAAATAACTATAACGATCTAACTGAGACGTGTAAATCTAATTTTAAATAACTATATGCATATATTTATTTTGAACTAAATTAGAAATGGAGTGTGTCGCGCGCGCTCCGATGTGGATGTTTGTTTTTAAATATCGTACGGACGTCGGATCTTGTTTATACGAGACGATCGCTGCGATATCGGAACGCACGAAACAGACAATACAATGTAATGGTGATTAAAATTATTCTACGACCTTGTGGGTACGATGATATTGCGTTAGGCGAAGCGAAGGGCGCGCGGGGAGGCGGCGGTATACTTTCGTTTTGCAGATTTAGTATAATATATCTTTTTCTTTAAATAATTTTAATTCATAGCCGAATAACACGCGATTAGCTATCCCGTAGGGGACTCGTAAAGCACCGGCCACTCTCCTCCGGGGACCTTCGTTTGTCGTAATGTGGCTACACTATAATGAAATACGCGAATTTAAATGCACCTTCACCAGAATTTCCGATATTAAATGAAGCTTAAGGCTCCGCGTGAAGTAACGGGACCCTGTTCAGTCGGCGACTCGTCGGGTATGGATATTAATGAAAGAAAATGAAGCCTCACGATTGATTAATGGATATTAATCAATCGTGAGGCTTCAACATTTTCTCGATCTATTGATGACGAACTCCAACTAAACTACGCCCGGTTCACTCCGAAAAATGGAACACGACAATCGGACAACGAATTTTAAAGAAAAAATTGTTTATTTGCCATTATTTTAACTGTCATCGAACAAAATGGGCAACCGTCTTCACTGTCGTGTCCATTTTTCGCAGAAAGTTTTTTTTTTTAAAGCCGATACAGAGTGAACGAAAAATCTCGTCTAGGAACCCTTAACCTAAACGGAACAGGGCGGCCGACCGTCTATAACATGGTACAAACGAAATTAAATATATATATTTCATATTTTATTATTATTACATCTCGTTACAATTACAAATAAGTGTTGTTGTTGTTTTAAATCTAGTAACCGTTCTTATGTTTATGTTTCGTTTATAATCGTGGGGCTGGCGGGCCGGGTGGTGGTGGTGGTGGGGGTGGAGTGGGGGGGCGGTGGAGGGGGGCCCGGGGCGGTGACGTCACACTGCGGCATACGTCACCGCCCGCCCCCACCCGCGCGCGCGCACGCCCACACCGCACAACGAACGTGTCTGCAAACAATGTCACAATCATCACACTTTCTTTTTGTATGTCGCAGCAAAGTGGTATAGTCACCCGACCAAATGGACGGCTAGTTTTTTTTTGTTGAATGGCGCATTTAACTGACTTTCGATCGGCCGAATAGTACTATAATACGGCTGATCAAAGGTCAGCCAACAGTCAATTCATCTAGAATACCGAAATTAATTTCTTGGTAGGATAAGAAGTAAAAAAAAAATATAATTAATACAGAAACGGGACTGCTCAAAAGATAATAACAAACAGCTTATTCGCGACTGGGTGATAATGGTCCATAAGATCCAATACAGGAAGCTAACGTACACACTAGGAGTGGGACGTATTTACTGGAATAAGTCTTTGGAATAAGTTTTTGCTTGAATGTCTAAATACTAAGTATCGAATAAGCAATCAACGCGTATCGAGTATTTAGAAGTATTTACTAACACAAATCCCGAGACTCGGAAACGCGGACGCAGACTTAGGCGTCCAACGCGTTTCGAGTACTTAGAAGTCTCGTACTCACACAAACTCGGAGACGCCGAGACGCGAAGACGCGGCCGCAGACTCAAGACGTCCAACACGTTTCGAGTATTTAGAAGTCTTGTACTCATACAAACTCGGACTCTCCGAGACGCGAAGACGCGGACGCGTTCGATCTTAGTGTGAGTCGATTAATTCCTATTCCTTGGTTCAAGCTTAACGTTATGTGATAAAATTGCTTTTCGTTTACACAGTAATTAGGTAAACGTCCGACGCTATCACCTGTTACATGTAAATAAAGTCTATGATTTTGCTTCTAGCTTGGATCTATGTCGTGTATTTGACTAACTACAACAGTCGTTTCGGCATTTTGTATTGTTTACCATTGTATAAACTAGTACTTAATAGATGCTTACACGTAATAATAAAAATAATAATTTTTATGGTGTTGGGGTGTTTGGACTAATATATTTAATTTATTGAGTGTGAATAAATCGTAGTCTAGAGTGAGGGTTTATCAAAAAACGGAACTTTAGACATACAATTTATTGCGATAACATTCAAAATCTTAATAGATAAATAACAAAAGTTTATATAAATCGTATAGAAATGAGGTCATACCGTGATTCATACTCGTATAACACCATCTGTTGTCTCAAATTGGAATCAATTTATCTAATTATACAATGTACTAATTAACTTATATTGTTATGTTGTATTTATTGTTTATTATTATGCATTATATTTATTTATCGTATACCTATTTTATATATGTTGAGCATAAATACTCTATGGTGAGTCCAAAAAAATTAACCATTACCATACTAATATTGAATAACCCAATGAATTGTTAAAATAACTTTTTATATGTATATGAAATTAATTTATATCAACAAGAAAAACTCTTAACACAGCTATTCACACAAAATTATAACGCCATTTATTAGAAACTAATGTGAACAAAATGTATGTTAACATTTGAGAAATGTGTCTTTCCACTTTAACTGCTGTTTAAGATGTTTTGTTTTTTTACTTTGATTAATTTAATATAATTCTCTACTTTGTTTTTTGTTAACTGAGCTTGATACAAATAATAACCACCAATGTATAATTATTGTACCGAGCCAATTTATGTTTTCAAATGTAACCCAAAACATTGTAGGGTAGGTATAGATAGTGCGATCCACATTTTTGTGCTAAAAATTTTTTTGGCTTGTGCAGTCGTCAGGTTTATTTTTTTCTCGTCAAAGTATTCATGTGCAACTCTCAACCTACAATGACTTCAGATCATACCTCAAGCACTCGCGATGTCTTGGGACAAAATTTGTGTCGTTAGTCTTAAAAACGCATACTTCTAAATACTCGTGGAATAGGTTTACGGAATAAGTTTTTCAGCGTACTCGTACTTGCAAGACTCAGTACCCGTTTAGCCTAGTACTTCTCGTCTCTAGTACACACTCATTAGGCAAGAGGGTTAAGCTAATTAACTTTTATATAATATTCTTAATACTAATACAATTATACAAAGACAAGATATATCACGATTCAGACGGCCACAGCGCCATCTATCGGAATGAGAGTAAGCAATGTATTTGACTGCGATTGTTTTCCTATAGTTATTACAATTTCGAATTTTGGGATTACAATAGTTAAAAATAACGTGATAGGTCGGAAATTTAAGAAATTCGAGGCTATTTTGTTAACAGATAATAAAACCAAATGAACGTTTTGGCGACTTTTAAAAGGCTGGCCGCCCAATGGAACGGCTAGCTTAACCAGTTGGCTGCGACATATATACTGTGTGCAGTACAGTATAGTTAACAAGTGGATAATAGTAATGCAACATATACTACATTACCGATTATGAATAATTCAATGAGGTCATAAATATATTACACAATTCTTTCTACAATTTTCAAGTAGTAAAATTTGCCACTATCTATAATGTAATGAAAAAGCATTTCAAACATTAATGTAAAAAAAAGACACTCTTCTTCTTTTCATATGTCTTCTCGAGTTTAAACTCTAGGTATAAAATTTTGCATTCCTAAACGTGGTCATAAAATTTTGAATATAAACATATGTTTAACATACGATGGTGCGTCATTATATTGGTTTCTTTTATTTTTTATATGAGGGTAATAAGTTTTCATTATTTTTCCTGCCTACCTTTCCTATCTAAAAACCCCAGACTGATTTTGACATTCGTTACTTGAGCATCAGCAGACATGTTTTCGCGTTGTCTCGAATTCATCATTAAAAAAAGTAGTGATACGCACGTCGTACTAGCGTCGCGATCGCGTACTATCAGCTGAAATTGTTGAGGAAGAAGAGATAAAGGAAAGGACGGCTGTTATCTAAATCTCAAAACAACATCAGCAACCAGCGCCAAACAGGTCAGTCAGTCAGTCAGTCATCTCATTTTTCCCCACCATACGACTTTTTTATATAAGTCGTCTTTAAGATTCATGATGATATAGGACGATTATAAATATTATTTGGTACTCATGTATTATATTAGTATCGGTAGCGCGGCCAGCGAGCGGGGCGCGTATCGTGCAGTGCGTGTATACTGACCCGTGGCGGCGTGCGGTATCACTTGCAGCAGGAGGAGGCGCGCGGCGTGTCGCCGTCCGCCAGCCGCCGCGCGCCGCCCGCGCCCCCCGCGCCGCCCCCGCTCTCGCTCTTTGGTAACTTGTTCGCTGCACATTACATAAAACATACATTCTACTCTTAGCCGTCACAGTTCGCAGCTGAAATCAACCAGTAGAGCGAATTGGAATTCACTTCCAAAGTAACATAACGCTTAACCTTGAAGCCAGTTTCTAAATGACATAAGGATAGAATATAGTTTCTATTTTTATACAAAACATAGAATCACTACACTAATATACGTTAAGCGAATTCGCTTTCGAAGTGAATTCGGATTCGGATTATTACGAAATTGCTCTGCAGTTTAATTCTAGTATGAACTAGTTCGTGTTTACAAACGAATAGTAGAAGTAGTTTTAAAGTGGGTTGACGACCAAATCGTTTTGAGGCAGTTCGTTCGCTCGTTTTGACACGGCTGCTGCTGTGCCAAGATTATTAAACGACTGTCGTTTACTTAAAATTCTGGATATACACCTATGAATTTATCTTCGTAATCTATATATTTTTAATGAAATATTTCCTAGTTTTATCACGAACTACGCAACGGGAAATGTGGGATTTAGTTCGCGCAATTGATCTCTGGAAGCGCTCTATCTTTATCGAACTAGTTCGTTTGCGAACTACACGAGACAAATTCACCATTAACACCGCACCCAAAAATACGAGCTTACTGTTTTCTGTCGATACTGACCGATGGCGAGGAATATATCGTTGACGTTCATCGCTGTCTTGGCGCTGGTCTCCATGAACAGCAGGCCGTTCTCGTCGGCGTACGCCTGCGCCTCCTCGAACTCGACCATACGTTTGGCAGCGAGGTCGCTCTTGTTGCCCGCGAGCGCTATCACTATCGACGGAGACGCTTGCCGCTGCAACTCCTTCACCCAGTTCTTCGCGCGCCCAAATGTGTCCTGACGAGCAATTATCATTGAGGAGAAAATGAATATATGGAGGTGCCGAGGTTAAGCACTTTTCACCTAAAAATATATTTTGTCGAGTTGCTCCACGTTTTAGAAGGCAACCCAAAGAAGGGGGCCTCCTCTGTCAACGAACGAAAGTTCGCAAAATTTCTAATCGATCTTTATTTGTTTAAATTATAACCGTAAATATTATCTGGTGCATCAGAAGCGGAGTCGGCTCCTACCTCCGATACATTATAATTTATCGGAACATGGGTTTCCTTCATGGGAACCATATTTCGAAATGGACGAAATTTTGTTTTCTAAAAAACAAAGCAGACCTTTTGATTTGCAGTCCCTAACACACGCCAAGCCACTTTTGGGTCATCGTAGTACTGTGGCCTGTTGTCTCTATACAATTCTATCATAGGGAAGACCCGTGTTCCAGTATTGGGGAATTAATAAATGGGGTAATTATGGTATCAAAAAAACACTGCTTATCGGCTACTTTATTATGTATCGGTTTGTGAATAAATGTTATTGTTTAAAAATAACAACTTTTAAATATTGATAAATGTCTGTTAATGTTTATTAACTGAATAGCGATAGTAATATTGTGTCTGACACCTCGTGTGACCTTTTCTCCCCAAATAATTACTCAACTAAAAAAATCCCACCAGGGGGCTACAATGGGAACGTTTTCTGTCCACATCGCTTCCGTGTGACACGTAGGATTAGCTAAGTCATGCCGTCATATACTATCTTTGTCTAACTTTAAATTTACCATTACCTAAGTTTAAAACACATATTAAGAATTGTCTACTCAGTAAAGGATATTATACTGTTAATGAATATTTAAACGACAAAACTCATTTTTCATATATATTAAATTGTTAATCGGTGAGCTTCTTTGGCTACAAATGTGATTGGATTGACGAAAATACTGTTTTACTCTAATATTGTGTAATATTGTAATGGAAAGTGACTTCAAATTTTAATGAAGTCATTTTTCAATCTTGACGCTCTGTATGAAATAAAACAGGGAGAAAAAAGTAGCCCTTGCCGAGTTTCTTGCCGGTTCTTCTCGGTACAAGGTCTCCCGGCGGAGATTTACGAACCGATGGCGTAGCTCTCGACTTTCACGAGTGCTTGTAACAGCCTAGACTGAATAAATAATTTTGATTTGATTTTATAAGTAATCGAGGTTTTAATTGTGAATATCTCAGTAAATAGTTGATGTGATTTATGTTTGCAGATTTTGTTTTTATGTACTCGACACAATCTATTTGGGGCGATAAAAATAACAGACTGAAGTCATATCGTCTCGTATCTAGTACATTGACTGGAGATACACATAACAGTGTCGATAAACATGTATCACAGCCGGGGACTCGATGACGATGTGTCCGTATGACGGCCCGCCGCCGCCCTTGAACTCGAGAAGACTTAAGAGTGATGTTAATGCGTTTGTCAATAAACAAGAGTGCTATGCAAATCACAAAATATCGGTAGCAATCAATATGTAAGGGACAGGATATCCTTTTTGAGTCTAACATCGTATCTTGGATTATTCGATATCCGGTCTCAACGTGTAGGCAGAGGAGGAAAACAATAAATATACGATATATCAGACAACATCCCATACATCGCTCAAATTCAAAGATAAAAGACAAAGCCCTCTTATTGTTGAGTGTTTAGAACACACAGTTTGCAAATACGCATCATCAAGTTTTGCAAATACTATTTTTATTCTGGTTTATGGAATCACATAGGTATGCATGTTTGTATGTATCTGTTTATATATATAGGAAATAGACTAATTAGTACGTTTCCTGGGTAAGTAAAGCCGTTTCACGTTAATGAGTCAGAAATAAAGTTTGTTTCTCGTAATAACCTTTCTCTAGTAACAAAGATTATTTATACTACATAATTAATTAAACAACAAGACAAAGGATGAACTTGAAAAGGGAGTAATGTTCGAGTGGCGGCAAAGGACGCAGCAACAGTTGTGTTGTATTCCGTTATCATATCTAGAACTTTTTTTAGAGTTAGCATTTCGTACACAATCGCTTTGTCTCGATGAGATTGTGGAGGAACAAATGAGGGCATATATTAACACGATATCAATTTAAATTACACACTAAAAAAATATTAGATACCGTATCCAAATGTAATATCTAGAGACAAAATGACATACATTGATCTGATCTCGTGTAGCTACACGTGAACACCCCTTGGGTTGTGTAATCTGTAATGACGAAAGTCCAACTGGTGGGGGTTTGAGCTCCACTACAAATCCATATTAATTAATTTACATCGCTTAATTATAAAACACATAATTTAATGTAAATATTGGTCTTAGCTATCATCGAACCGACTCGTTTGATGAAGCAACGATAGTAAAAGAAATATTTTAACAAATTATGTGGATAAGTGCCGCGGCACTCGATCGTCGTTGTTAAGCAACATTCGCAAGGGTCAGTCACGGAATGGGTGACCAAAAAATTGTTATCACGAGCTACTCTGAGCGTCGGAAGACGCGTTAAGCCTTTAGTCCCGGCTGCATTTGCAGACATTAATACCATCCAATCCGCATAAGCCAATGTAGAGGGTCATGGCCCATCCTCCTTAACCATTCATGTGGCCTGAGCCCCTGCAGTGGGGACGTAAAAGGGTATGATAATGAAATTGTGCACTGCACACAGTGTTTGTCCAATTTTAATGAAACCTATTTGTAGTTACCTCTTTGTGTAATGACTATTTACATTATCTAATAGTTAATAGTTTTATCTGAAGTAGTTCTCGTAAGGATTGACGTCGAGTGTCTCGAGTAGTATTCACGATATGTAAGAACATCTAATATAATTATATTATTATCACTAATTTCTCATTCATATCATTTTTCCTTCAGTCTTACTTTCTCATCATCTTTCTATAACCACACCGGTCGGTTACCAGTCAATATCTATCGTCCACGATCAAGTATCAAACTTTTTTCTTAACAGATTCATTGCGATTCATTTGTCCATTCTCTCGTCGCATACATTAATGTCGACTTTCATTTGTCCTCTCCACTGTCCAATATTCCGCTGATAAATGTTTGTGTCATAAAATTTCTCCTACAATTTAAGGAAAGATGATGTCGTAAACTACAAAAACATATACCCTGCTATTAATAAACAAGGTCTAAAATTGCAATTACTGGTATTGACCTAATTCATATTACACAGAGAATAAGCAAACGTACTACCTTCTTGGAATAAATATTACTGCTATAGAACCTTGTACTAGGTTAACCTTTGCTAAGTCTATGTGTAATAATATGAATTTTGTCTAATACTAAGTGTAGTCTCAGCGTGAATTTACTCCAACCTTGTTCTTTAATAACACTGTTAAAGTATACGTATATTATAAGCGTACGAATTAATTTAAAGAGAAAATCCGAATATGTGATTATCATATAGTTAGGTTCCTTATACCAGAACTCTGATCGACACTAGGTCCAAACGAAACACATTCATAGCTCACTGAATTAGGGCACTTTTTACTGATTTTAAGAATATTATAAAATTTTTGATATCTTTTAGTTTTATAATATGCATTAGTGAAACAATACATTGACTCATTAATGTGAATTAATATTACTTTGTTATCGTTAAATAAAACTAAACTTGTATTTTTGTAATTAAAATGACGATTTCAGCTTATAATTGAATAAATATCTAATTAAAAACAAACTATCACGTCAATATTGTTGATATTATCAAGTGTGTTGAATGTAGAACTCGATTTCTGTATAAAATAGTCCATTTGTATATCCAGACTTACAATTCTATTATTTCATCAATCTCTAATACCAAATTTCATCAAAATGCGCCGGAGCTTTGTGCGTGAAAGAGTAACATAAATATTTTCTCACATACTTGAGCATTTATAACATTAGTAGGATTACTCTTACATTGGGTGCTCAAATCGTATTGTAATTTGTGTGAAAACCGTTCTTCTATTACGTGCCAATTATAAAAATGCTAATAATTTTAAGATTTTAAAAATACGTTACTGAAGTAGCGTATGGCTCAAACGCCGGTGTCACGATAACGCCGTTTACGAGGCATGTGACGTTGTCTATTTATATAAAACAATAGTTCTTGTGGCTATCGCTTTGACTATGGCTTTGCGGTAAGGCAGTCGAGCCCCTGTTATATGTTTGATCAAAACTAAAACACGCTTTTTAAAGAAATATATAATATATAGCAATTAAACATTCTTCAATGAATTTTACTGATGGTAATTTCCAACTACGGAAAGGTAAAAATTGGGTTACGATTTATGCGTGTGTAATTTGATCAACGGTCTGTCTGTATTGTCTTTTGCCGTATTGACAATGTACGCTCGTACATAGTCTTGAACAATGACAGCAATTTCACGACAATTTGCGTTTTGAGACATGCATCATGCCGCGGCCTCAGCGATGACCGAGCACTAACAATGCCGAGCCTTGAGCGCAACACCTCGGGCTCGTGTCAACACTAAGCTTAAGGGAACGCCTAAAAGTATGTTATCAATCTTAAGTTGATTGTTAACAAATAATATGGATCTATCAATAATAACAAAACTATGTATGTACATATATATTAATTCTTAGTCCAATAAAATTGAGTCAAAACGTAAAATTATAAAACATTTCTCAAAAAATCACAACGAAACCTCTAAAATTCAACCACATACTTTGTAATACATACTTCTTATCGTAGCAAAATATACGTTTTTCTAGTTATTGAATGGTATTTAGTAGATATTGGTGTAAACACACATTATAATAATGCCACGTCAGTTTTCTGTCACTTTAGCTGGATCTTCGGTGAGGTTGTAGATTCGATGGGTTCGGGCATAAAAAATTATAAAAGTTTGAGTTACTATGTAGCCAAGGCGGATATAGTTGATGCTCTATCTGTATAATTTATATATTAAAGATTTTTGTTTAACCAGTGTACACTATGATAGGTGCAAATAAATAAATTGCGATGTATTATAATAACGGTATCCTATTATACGTTAACGCGGTAGTAAAAAGGGCAGCCGGTTCGCTATGATTTATCAAAAGAACAACGAAAAGCTTCCGATCTATTACGGTTAGAATTATACTTTACAACGCTTTAGTTAGGAGCATTCAATTCATATTCAATTAAATTTCAACGTATTGAATATATCGCACGGAACTCTCTGCAACATATCCTTGACCTATCGTTTGTGGATGACTAAATTGCAACCATCTCATGGACAGCGTCTCACTTAATGTACCCTCGCGCCTCCCTCGTCAGCCACGCAGAACTTTTACACTACCTACAATCAGACAATTGGGAATAATACTAATGTTATCGATATTTTCCACAACACTACGAGCAATATTCTCCAATCAATGAGTTATCAGTGTATAGAATAAAATGTACAAATATTAAAAACTTATTATAGATTCTTCATTAATTAATATTGTAACCACATTATAATGTTGTGTACGCCGATAATATATATATACGTATATATGAATATTTAAAGTTAACAAATGATAATTTTCAATGTATCATATATATGCTGTTAGTGTACCTTTTCCAAATAAATAAATCGCTCTATTTCGTGCAATACGCCATTGTGCGTCTCTATTTGTCTCATTCTAGGCTGCTAAATTAGTCTTTTATCACTTTAGATTACAGATAAAGTGATAAAAGACGAATTGAGTGATTCTTAACTACTCGTGTAAACACACTAAGCCCTAACAAAATAAAAACACTGAACTCTAATTATGATATGGACTTATAATGACACCCCACCAGTCTGCGCCGCTTACGTCAAATATTAATGGACAGTTTTTATGGGCGAAATATAAAGCATACAGATTTCAATAGAAAAACTCGCCCAATAATAACACTCTTCAGCAAACGCACAGTGCAGTCGGAGACAAATTATAAGATTGAGAGATGTACACAACTAACGCAGATATAGGTAATTTACGGAGGCGAATTCGCGGGAAAACTGCTAGATAGCAACAAAACTACTTTTTATATTTAATTCTTGCTTCGCTTAACATCCGCTTTGGCCACGTTATATTGTGTAGTGAGTGCAATGAGACTTTTTCATCAATTGAGAGATTCTGCAACCATCTCAATGCTATTTAACGAACACGACACAAGGTCATGACAATTAAACAGTACACAAATGAGAAGGGAACGTGAACATTCAGCCGTACTATGACGCGCCTTTAAAAGAAAAGTCGCAAATTTCAGAAGCTAGCACAAATCCGGAATTATACATATCTCGTGCCGCGTGTCACCACTAGGGTTGCCAGATGGTTGGAACTCATCTGGATTGTCCCGACATTTTGTTTGATGTCTAGTTTTAAGTTACAAGATAGTTAGATAGGTATAAATCCTGTCTTTAGTACCACTGAACCAGAAATCAAATTATCATTTTATGTGTAAGTAAACACATCACATACCATTTTAATATGTTTATAAATACTGAAAAATATTGCATCGGAAGGCCATTTAACAACTAAGTGTCAATATCATTGACCTTGCTGTTGGAAAAAAAATATTTTTTCATTTATGGTTCTCCACAACCAGGTCAAGTTGAGTTTATATATTTTACTGAAAGCTATATTTACTAATATTTTCATTTATGAATTCACATGGAGAACTAAAACGCAATCACAACAATAAAAGTGTCATGAAGTTTTACCGCTATGTGTGTCCGTCTGTGGCATTAAATAAATGGCGGTTTTCCTTGTTATTTATTTAGCATTTCTTCTGACGATGGTTCTAAGACGTGTTTTATCAAAATTACAATTGCAAAATCATTGACTAGGTATCGGAGTGAAATTTGGAACGAAGAATCTTATATTGTCAAGATTGTACAAGTGGGATCAAATGAAAGGGCACGACGTGTATCTCAAAATGAGACATGTTTTATAAAAACCGGTTTTTTATTTACTCTTTGAGGGGGTTGAAAGCGAGGATGAATACTCGAATACTATCAAATATACCAAAGCAGGGTATCAAATGAAACGGTATGACGTGTATTTTACTATTAGATGCTTTATTATAATTGGTTTAGCCATTTATGGGATGTGGAAGTGGGAATAAAAAATTTGAATCTGGAGATGCGGTGGAGACTAACGACTTAACGTACCTTTGGAAGCACAAAAAAGCCAGAGATAATAATTTTTGGTCACCCATTTTATGACCGGCCCTTTCGAAAGATACTTATCAGCATGGCAGACCGAGTTGTGGCAAAAGAGAACGCATTATTTTTGATAAAAATTCGTGCAGGAATAATTATACCAATAACAGCAAAGCGTGACTGATATTTAATGAGGAAGTATTTAAAAAAAATGAAAGCACTAAAAAAACACCTCCACTAGATGGCGACTCTAGCAAAAGTTGATTTTTGCAGGAAACGAATGGACCAAAGACAGTCATTTCCGTTCCTTTTAACTAACATATTCATCATCATCATCATCAGCCGGAAGACGTCCATTAACATATTAAAAAAATGAAATTTGAAAGTTCCAAAATTAGATATCAATACAAATTCGAAAAAGTACAAATGGAATATGAGTTGTTTATTGAATTTGAAAACTAACTAACTTTAAAACTTGAAAGAAAACCGGAATGGTTATCGTGGAGAAATCAAGAACGTACCGTAGCGACATTCAGTTTGATTTCGGGAACTAATTAAAAAAAACACTATAGAAACATAGTGTATATAGAACATTATTAAAAAAAAATATATTACATATCGGAATCTAAAATACGAAAAATAAATAATGATGACATATTGTCTCTAAAAACAATAATAATTAAGCTCTAATGGATCAATACGAGTCGGTCACACTATACACATCAACTCGAGCGAGAAGTACATTGCAATTACCTAAACTAACGAAACGGATTTGGCATTAACGGCCTTAAAAAAAAGAAATCTCTTCAAATTAACGATACAGTAATACAGCCACTGTCCTCACCAGCGAGATAACATAAAACTATATATCTTTAGAATATGTTATCATTCCACACAAAGCGTTAAAACATTATGGTAGGCGTTATCTATTTGTCATTTGATATTGTAATTATTATATTTCGATTATTGTTTGTTTAAATGTTTAGACTTTACACTTTATCATGGACTAAATTGGAAGATAAAATACTTATAACCAGAGGTCGGAATTAGGTAGAGTTATTTATGTACTTGTATCGAAATGTTGATATTAATGTGGACCTTCCCGGGATTTCTAATGGACAATCTTGGACATCTTTGGACATCCGATGTCATTGATGTAAGTTTGGCAACGTGCACGACGTTGCCAAACTTACATCAACTTACAGCAGTAGTTTAAATTGTGTAAAAGTAAATAACATTTTATTTAAAAAAACACGGGATTTTTTCTGCTCTTTAAAATTAATCTCGGGATTTGAGGCATATCCATTTTATTCTTTCGCTGTATGAAATCAGTGTAAGTACATGAATAACTCTACCTAATTCCGACCACTGCTTATAACGTAACATGCTGTATTTATTTAATATTGCCGTTTTACCGTTTGCTGATAATAGCTACCCCAATCGATCAAGGTTCATATTACCTATTCCCGTTATGTGGGTAATACGGAACAATCTGGTTAAGATCTCTTTCGCGTTGTGTTTTACGTCAATCAACTGATAGGTATGTCAATGAATGATTCACTAAACAAGGTCAGGAGGTGTAAACAAAAACTATAATATGTTTATAGTCACCTGGTTAGTGATGTCGTAGACTACGATGGCCGCCTGCGCACCTCTGTAGTACATCGGCGCCAGACTGTGATACCTGCAATGCGGCACAGCCAGTTAACTATATTCTATTTAATATCCGCTCCATTTAATTTAGAAATTCACTTAACTAAAATATTGAAGCACTTAAGATGATTGATTATTTAAGTATTATAAATAATTCGTAGAAGTAGTAATATGGATACACAAATTTGATAATTCAATCATATTTTATGGCTTAATTTATTGAGATAGAGTTTAAAATCTTTTAAAATACATCTCATTGTCTACAAAAAATATATAATATACATACATTCAAAAATTAACTTCTTACATTCAAGATTTATTCATTTCATTAGAATGAGATGCAATTATTAGGGCAACGTAAATAATAGTATATTAATCCTTTGTTTGTGAAGTAGTAGTTCCTTTATTTATTACCTTTTACAAATGAACGCAGTGCATATGATAAATTCAATTTCATTTCTTATAAGTACATAAATGTTTTAATTTTCTTTTTAATGCGAACTGTATTAAATTAGAGCTAAAAGATTCATATCATATATAGTTGCAAAAGTTTTTAGTTCAAATTTCAAAGAAAGGATAACCAATTAACACCGGCAGTAATTAAACAGATACGCCATTTGGTTTTCGCAAAGGGGCGTCCGTTTCTGGTGACATGGAGCATTTCACGGAGATGTCACCAAACAATTGGAAATCAGATCACTGGTGAAAGTTGATTTGTAACGGTAAAATGACATTGTGGTAACTATACCACCATGATATAAGTATAACGTATACCTATGTGGATAATTACAAAAAAAGGGTAAACTATTACATTAATATTTTACTCTCTGCCAAGGGCATGACCCTAAAACCAATAGGGCTCAGTGCCGCACGCTGCGAACGTTTGCCCAACCCAACATTTTTTTTCGTATGAATGACTTTTAATTTCTAGAACTAATTAGATATTATTTCACATAATCACCAACGATAAATGCTATCAAAGATTTGAATAATGTAAATTGGTAGGTATAGTCAGAACAAAATACTCGCAATAATAAATCTATAATTATCAGAATTCAATTGTAGGGGATTCCCAAATACTAACAAATCAGACTTCCTTCGAATTGTTGAGTCGTATGTATGTATGTATTACTGTAAAGTAGATTCTTTAATGTGCTTCACAGATAATTGGACGACATTAACCACTCCTTGTATAATTAGGCCTACTGTACTATATGTTACTTAATGTTTATTAATACCTATTAGTTTATAGGTTTTCTAATGATACCACATTATGATAATATTTTAGTGGCCAGATGCACTAACATCCATTAACTAAATTAAACGACACTATATTTATGATAATTTTAATGGACATTTCTGCAACTGGCTGAATGTTACTAAAATTACCTAAAATAAATCACTAAAATTAAGTAATATACCAAAGCAAATTTTGTGACTGTTTCAAAATAAATTAAAAATAAATAATAATAAAAGTTATTTGGGACAAGTACATAAATATACAATATATAGAAACAGGTGAAGATTTGTCCCAAAACCTTTTTTGCATTGTGTGTTAATTTTTACAAAGATATTTAGTTAAGAGGAAACATATTGCATTAATCTGCAGGAGCTTCTCGTCTTATCTTATCTTATGGCACTATCTGTTCATTTCTTACACTTTCTAGCTCAATATTTTTCTGTGTTTGGGGTCTATAAAAGCATCATCAAAAGTCAAATTTCAGCAAATGATAGGAATTGAAGTAAAATATATGTATGTTAATCATTTATTAGTAAAGAGAACACATAAAACTTACTAATTTGTGGGGAACCAATAATTCCTCAATTTATATCCTAGTTAATAACCTAATAATATACTGGTATCTAGTTTCTTTGATCTCAATTACAAAATATTTTGTTTCTATACCTATATATAATCATAACATATTACAATACTTAAATAAAATCATAACATTATTTAAGTATTGTTAAAAAGCATTTATTAAGTTTTTGTGCACCTCAAGCCACCCTAATTGTCTTTTTTATACTTCATTATTTCAAATGACAGTTGCCTGGTGGAAATCACTGTTAAGTGATAGTGCCGCCATTTGTACTACTCTTATATTTTACTTTTATTTAGATAAATATTCAATTTATTTTCATCACAAAATAAAAAATAAATATTTAACTTTTTTATTTGTGCAAAGTTTTTTCCTTGATGTAAAGTAAAACTTACCTCTCTTGTCCAGCTGTGTCCCATATCTCAAACTTGACAGTGGTATCATCGAGGCACACTGTCTGAGTGAGGAAGGCCGCTCCGATGGTGCTCTCCTGGTACTCGTGAAACTGGCCCTTCACAAACCGGAGCACCAGCGAGGACTTGCCCACAGCTGACTCCCCCAACAGCACCAGTTTGAACTGACACACCTTTGTCTGCGGCGCGCCGTTCGGACGCTGCGCACCACCGGTTCTGTTTGTCGCCATAGCCTACAGAATAACAATGACATGATATATATTCCACATTATTAACGAAAATATAAAATTTAAATACTGAACAATTATGAGAGTTACACGAAATTAAACCACATGAAACATAATATTCTTATTCAATACGTATGTAATTTGAGATTTGGCTAAAATCAGACAAATTGTATACATGATTGTAAAACTAATTGAATATGGATTTAATTTGTGAATTTTCAATTCTATCACTCATAAACTGAAAATAACAAATCCCTTTTAAATAAAATCTTACTTTAAAACAAAGTAAAGTCATTTTTATATTATTTAATATTAGTAACAGCAGCTAATGTAAGCCTTCAAAAGAATGAAATGAACTATATCCAAAAGATACAATTAGGAAATCAAATTTGTCAATTATTTATTTATTTAAGTGTTATCTTAAACTAACTTCTTGATTGAAACAAAACTTATAAATTACTTTATTGTAAACAAGCCCAATGTTTATTCCTAACACATTTATATAAAATATTACTAATTAACTTTATCTATTATTCAACAATGTACAGTGAACACCACATATACAAAATGACAAATTTATCCAACTCATTTTAAATCTTAATATATCACCATAATTTTCAAAACTGACCAAAAATTGAGATTTGCTATAAAAATTATTGTATGTGTACACCACAATCTTTCATACCATTGATTATTATTTATTCTGTCAAAGATACAATGTGTACAGTTATTATAACTATAATACAATGAGATGTAATTAAGAAACATTTAGATAATTTATTATTAAATGACAGTGTAAATTAACTAATTGACATTATTTTTATAAAGGAACTGTAAATTATACATTTATTTATTTATTCTTTATATAATATAATTTGATGTAGTTGCCTAAACATTGAAACAAGAATAAACAACTTGCTAATAATTAATTATTTTTTTATTTATATAAATAAAAGTTAAAGATACATACACATAGATTCACCAGTGACAAGGGACATAAAAACACAATTTGACACCATTTACACAAGTAGATATGAACAGGTAATCAGCAATAGACATAGATAAGTTCTTTAAAAACTAGATTTTTAAGCACTGAGATGTATCATCCACAAAACCTACAGTATGAGAGCAACAAACGCAACTGACTGTTTTTCCAACAACGGTAAACAACGACTTTATCTACATGAACAGTAACAAACGTCGCGAAATCACAAAGAAACAAAAGGTAATAAATACTATGTCACTTTATCTGATATTATGAGACGTATTTTGCGAGACCCACTAATATAACTATTTTATCAGTCAAATACCAAAACGTGTCTGTTGTGAAGATGACTAACACGTCTATCCCTATCAGTGGTTTCCTTCTAAACTGACCATTAGAAATTACCCATTTACGCCCTCATCGGAATCAGCTGGAGGTCATAAAATCTTGTAAAGTAATCACTTCCTCGACGAAATATTTTCAAGATTTAAAATTATTGACTTTAGTTAATGGAGCATTATCATTCTGGGCTTTACTTGTTACGTTATTCGATATAATGACGCATTTACTGGATTATATCGGACGTGAAAGACGTACCCTCCCTGTTATTATATCGCCGATGTGCTCTGTTTCTTGGGCGACAAATCCTCACAAAGTCGCCGTAGTGCCGAAAATTTCATTAATCACACACTCAACCAATAGTGAAACATTAATTTTTTAGGCTAAACTATAAAATCTAGCACAGAAACGCTAAATTACCAATCACCACGAACAAACATGGAAGCTAGACGTTTCATGAAATTTCGTCTATGGTAGTGGAGATACGTCACTTTAAAAAGATTACGGGTCTATGGATATTTTTGCAATGTTGCGTACATGTAGTTTGTAGTGCCTACAGACCACGAATGTTAAATTAAACTGGATTGCGTACTGATATATTTCTTAAAATCAAACTTACACTTTATCTATTATGAAATAAGGCTTATTTTTCTATGTCACATTTCAGAGTAAAAAAACGGTCTACTAGAGATATTAGATTTGTAGCAGTAGGTCCTTGTCTAACAAGTTGCCATTGGAAAATTATATAATCATTATTGGCATTTAGGAGATTTTATTGATTATTTAAGGACATCACTAGGTAATTTTAATTATTATCTAATAGTAAATATATTGAATAGACATAGTTGATATGTTTTTTAAGTAAAAGAGTGAATTAATTAAAATTATAATGTAAACCGATGTCGTGTTAGTAGTTTTTCGTTACATTTAAGTGGCAATATTTTAAATTAATATGGCCGCTCGATGTGACAACATAAAAAATGTTAAAGTTTGATGTTTATTTGTGTTTTGACTTACTATTTCGATTATTTACATCAAAACGGTATATTGTTTTGCTTGGCTGATTGCAAAAATGAATAGTATCACGGTTGTGACTTCACATTTCACAGGTAAGCTGTTTTCCTTATTTATTAATCAGTGATGAAATAGGGTGTCTACGAACAAGAAACAAAACCATATCAAAGGGGCTTTGATTTAAATTAATATTCATACGTTTATATTGTAAACATTTATTAGTTTTACTTACGCTACCCGCCATTCTTCGTTTTAATCTCTGTAAAATTTACTTGCTTAACATTACAGTAAAAATGTTTATTAATAAGTTATGCACTGCGCAATTAATATCATAAATTCTCAAGAAGCTTGAATAATTTCACGGTAGGTACAAAGTTATCTGGAAAATATCTGAATGGCCTACACATAACTTTGAATAAATATTTATAAAGTAATGATTTTATTATGCTGACCATGACAAAATTGCTCTTATGTTTCTAGGATCCCAAAGGGTAAGGTCTAGCTGTAAAATAGAGGACAATAATACCAGGCAAAGTGACAAAATGATCCGTTGTATTCTAATACAATTAATAGGAAAAAAAAACATTTTTATCCTTTTAATTAATTTATACATTAAAGATGATTATGATAACATTTATGTACTTGTTTTATTTCCTACAAAATAAATATCTTTACCGATAAATAAAACCTAATTTATCGGTTAAATTTCTAATATCATCATCCATAATATCTGTAAAACATTATAAAGTTCTATCTGTAAATGTTTAAATATATGAAATTATTAAAAACGCGTGGACATCCTACAAAACTACTAAGACAGAGATGAAGAGTTACTAATTTACTCTCTCACTCTGCCCGTTTTTAATGAAACACTGCACAATCCAGTTTAATTTGACATTCGTGCTACAGACAGACTGAAGTAACAAACAGCCCCGATTAGTTTGTGGAACGGCCTACGAATAGACTTCGTCGATGGCGACGCAGCTCTTTTTAATATTTTTATTACCCAGTTGCAAAAACGATTTTTAAGGTAACTCTTGCGCTGCCTTAATTTAACACTTATTTACCCAGAAGCTATGATCGAAGATACAAACTATCTAAGGCCATTTTGAAGGGTATTGTAATTTTTTTTATACCTATAGCGAGGGATTGACCATGGACTTGGTACTATATAACAGGATAGAGATTCTAGCTGAAAAACGAGCCGAGTGAGATGTTAAGTTCAGTGTCCCTATCTAATAGAGCGACAATAACATTTTAAGTGAAACTTTTCATATGGTTAAGTTTTTAACTACTGCGGCTATTATCTTACACGATAATGTTGTTCAACTTTTTGTTACAATAAACATATTGTTATTATTTATTTTAGATACTTAGGCTTTTCGTATAATTCGATATCGATTAACGAAATCGCACGAATCGTGCGCCCTCGTAATATTTATGGCGAATATCAAGTGTTTGTTTACTCATGAGATTGCACAATCTGTCAATATCACAAATCTCCAAATCTTTCAGTTATAAGTCCTGTTACGTCCATGGGATTGACATTTGGATCATAGAGTATCATACATTACTTATAAGGAGGTACATATAACCTCCAATAGAATGAATGAATGATAATTTTATTTGCAATAATCACAGCACAACATGCTAAATACACACTGACATAAAATATAAAAACAAAATAAATATAAAGAAATTAAATTAAACAAGCGATTAAAACACACACAGGATCACATGTATGCCGGGACGATGCAAAAAGGGCAAAAGCTCGGCAATATGTTTGCTTGAAAAGCAAACTGCCGATTTTCAGCTTTAACCTAAGTTTGGATTAGCGGGGAACCAAAGACCAAAGTGAAAAATCATAAAAGCATATCATCAAATTCATCAATAGATGCCTGAAAGACAGCAAGCTGTAGCCAAGCATCTATGATTCTGCATAGATCGTTACTTATGCGAATCCTCAGTAGTGACTAAGTGTGTAGCGATCTGTGAATAAATGCTTTTACGAGAAAATTTTTCTTTGTAATGAAGTAGTGATCAGGTTAACCAGGGCAAATTGTAGCTTAACGGACAAAAAGTGAAATATTCGACCTGACATTTAACTGAATTTGTGACATTAAGATTTGATTTTACTTTTACCTATTACAATACAAACATGGCTTTGTGACTTATTATTCTTCATATTATTGAAATTTATCACGAAAGACATAGCTACGACCTATTTTCTCCTATAATATCAAAGAAAAGAAATTTACAACAGATAATGGCTGTATGGGCTAAGTTACCTTCGCCTTTCCTTTACGGAAAAATCTACCATAAAAATAACTACAGATTTGTCCGGATTTTGTGTTTCTTCTTCATTAGCCTTACCTTGATATAAGTTCTTTAGAAACAGCAAATCACAAAAGTCAAAACGATATACACAGGTTTGTAGTTACCTTTTATCCACATAAACAATGAAGATAACGAGATATAAAAAGGTACAAAAGTATCTCAAATTTTACCAGAACAACTTTGGATTCCATCAGCCTTACCAAGTTTTAATTGATGGCACCTTCTGTTTTGCAGCTTTCAAAGTGAGTTCATAAATATCCGAAATGCAGAATACTTAGTTTTGATTATTACTTACTAACTAAAAATTATAACCTGATTTGTGAAAATGCGAAATTATACAAAATTGTAAAATGTCTACAGAATGGACAGCAAGTATTGTCGTGTCGGACGCCTAATCGACATAGTTGATGAAGAGTGGCGGACAGAGCAGCTACCACATGAGGACATTCAAGTTCCTCTGGAAGAATTGCCTGATCCAGAGGCTGACAGTGCTGATTCCCATCTTACCCTGAAAGAGCAGAGTATGCGCTGGCAAGAGAACTTTCCTGAACCCGCTAGTCTTAGTCCAAACTAGGTATTCTGCATTATTTATTACTTGTTTATATTATAATATGTAAATGTGACTATACAAAGCAAAAGACTGATGTAACAATAAATGTTTTTAGGAGCAAATAAACATAAGGGAACAATTGCCGAAGTATTTAAATGGCCAATTAAAACTTTTGACTACAAGGTGTGTTATAATTGAAACTGAAAGGATAGCAAAGAAAACCCATGGAGCACTTACAATACTAAAGCAGTATGGCATACATGAATGTGGACACAAAGAGCCTGTCTCTGGAGCTAAATGCATTATGTCTATGATTGGTAACAGCAATGAAAAACATTACATCCTTGCCACCCAGGACAGAGACCTGCAAGATAAACTTAGAGCCAAGGCAGCCATACCACTCCTCTATTTACATAACAAATCACCTACTCTAGCTAAACCATCAAAAGCCAGTTATGACAAAGCAGGTCAAACCTTACAGTGTTCAACTGTGTTTATAAGTGAAACTCAAAATGAAACTTTTTTATCCTTTTAATTAATTTATACATTAAAGATGATTATGATAACATTTATGTACTTGTTTTATTTCCTACAAAATAAATATCTTTACCGATAAATAAAACCTAATTTATCGGTTAAATTTCTAATATCATCATCCATAATATCTGTAAAACATTATAAAGTTCTATCTGTAAATGTTTAAATATATGAAATTATTAAAAACGCGTGGACATCCTACAAAACTACTAAGACAGAGATGAAGAGTTACTAATTTACTCTCTCACTCTGCCCGTTTTTAATGAAACACTGCACAATCCAGAAGCTATGATCGAAGATACAAACTATCTAAGGCCATTTTGAAGGGTATTGTAATTTTTTTTATACCTATAGCGAGGGATTGACCATGGACTTGGTACTATATAACAGGATAGAGATTCTAGCTGAAAAACGAGCCGAGTGAGATGTTAAGTTCAGTGTCCCTATCTAATAGAGCGACAATAACATTTTAAGTGAAACTTTTCATATGGTTAAGTTTTTAACTACTGCGGCTATTATCTTACACGATAATGTTGTTCAACTTTTTGTTACAATAAACATATTGTTATTATTTATTTTAGATACTTAGGCTTTTCGTATAATTCGATATCGATTAACGAAATCGCACGAATCGTGCGCCCTCGTAATATTTATGGCGAATATCAAGTGTTTGTTTACTCATGAGATTGCACAATCTGTCAATATCACAAATCTCCAAATCTTTCAGTTATAAGTCCTGTTACGTCCATGGGATTGACATTTGGATCATAGAGTATCATACATTACTTATAAGGAGGTACATATAACCTCCAATAGAATGAATGAATGATAATTTTATTTGCAATAATCACAGCACAACATGCTAAATACACACTGACATAAAATATAAAAACAAAATAAATATAAAGAAATTAAATTAAACAAGCGATTAAAACACACACAGGATCACATGTATGCCGGGACGATGCAAAAAGGGCAAAAGCTCGGCAATATGTTTGCTTGAAAAGCAAACTGCCGATTTTCAGCTTTAACCTAAGTTTGGATTAGCGGGGAACCAAAGACCAAAGTGAAAAATCATAAAAGCATATCATCAAATTCATCAATAGATGCCTGAAAGACAGCAAGCTGTAGCCAAGCATCTATGATTCTGCATAGATCGTTACTTATGCGAATCCTCAGTAGTGACTAAGTGTGTAGCGATCTGTGAATAAATGCTTTTACGAGAAAATTTTTCTTTGTAATGAAGTAGTGATCAGGTTAACCAGGGCAAATTGTAGCTTAACGGACAAAAAGTGAAATATTCGACCTGACATTTAACTGAATTTGTGACATTAAGATTTGATTTTACTTTTACCTATTACAATACAAACATGGCTTTGTGACTTATTATTCTTCATATTATTGAAATTTATCACGAAAGACATAGCTACGACCTATTTTCTCCTATAATATCAAAGAAAAGAAATTTACAACAGATAATGGCTGTATGGGCTAAGTTACCTTCGCCTTTCCTTTACGGAAAAATCTACCATAAAAATAACTACAGATTTGTCCGGATTTTGTGTTTCTTCTTCATTAGCCTTACCTTGATATAAGTTCTTTAGAAACAGCAAATCACAAAAGTCAAAACGATATACACAGGTTTGTAGTTACCTTTTATCCACATAAACAATGAAGATAACGAGATATAAAAAGGTACAAAAGTATCTCAAATTTTACCAGAACAACTTTGGATTCCATCAGCCTTACCAAGTTTTAATTGATGGCACCTTCTGTTTTGCAGCTTTCAAAGTGAGTTCATAAATATCCGAAATGCAGAATACTTAGTTTTGATTATTACTTACTAACTAAAAATTATAACCTGATTTGTGAAAATGCGAAATTATACAAAATTGTAAAATGTCTACAGAATGGACAGCAAGTATTGTCGTGTCGGACGCCTAATCGACATAGTTGATGAAGAGTGGCGGACAGAGCAGCTACCACATGAGGACATTCAAGTTCCTCTGGAAGAATTGCCTGATCCAGAGGCTGACAGTGCTGATTCCCATCTTACCCTGAAAGAGCAGAGTATGCGCTGGCAAGAGAACTTTCCTGAACCCGCTAGTCTTAGTCCAAACTAGGTATTCTGCATTATTTATTACTTGTTTATATTATAATATGTAAATGTGACTATACAAAGCAAAAGACTGATGTAACAATAAATGTTTTTAGGAGCAAATAAACATAAGGGAACAATTGCCGAAGTATTTAAATGGCCAATTAAAACTTTTGACTACAAGGTGTGTTATAATTGAAACTGAAAGGATAGCAAAGAAAACCCATGGAGCACTTACAATACTAAAGCAGTATGGCATACATGAATGTGGACACAAAGAGCCTGTCTCTGGAGCTAAATGCATTATGTCTATGATTGGTAACAGCAATGAAAAACATTACATCCTTGCCACCCAGGACAGAGACCTGCAAGATAAACTTAGAGCCAAGGCAGCCATACCACTCCTCTATTTACATAACAAATCACCTACTCTAGCTAAACCATCAAAAGCCAGTTATGACAAAGCAGGTCAAACCTTACAGTGTTCAACTGTGTTTATAAGTGAAACTCAAAATGAAACTTTGAAAAGCATGAAAAAAGCTTTAGGTGTTGAAGATAAAGTGGAGGAAATAAAAGTACCAATAAAGAAGAAAAAAACACATAATCCAAATCCTTTGTCTTGTAAAAAGAAAAAAAAGAAACCAAACACTAAGCAACAGACTACAAAAAGAGAAGGAGTAAGCGAAGGGAAAGTCAAGAAACGAAGAAATAAGAAGGCTCCAAGAATAATTAAAGACCAACTGAAATACCCTCCTCAATAAACTAGTATGTAACAAGTTATCAAAGCTTTTCATTTAAGAACATATCCAACTTTGTATTAATGAGTATAGTAAATATGTCTACAGTGATAACTAGCTCACTAGTTTACCATCAGAAGGCTACAATTCAGGAGGCATACAATCACAGTATCATATTTATGTCCTGACTGGAAAGTTATCAAAACTTCAGAACTGGTTGACAATTTTTAACTATTAAGCTGGTTTTATAGTCGAGGTTAATGTCAGCATGGCCTGGCCTTTACTGTGCACATCCAACCTCCGAGACTATGTAACACACTCTAGCTATTTGCCAGTAACTATGTACTGATGCAAGACATTCTCATTGAAAACAACGCTTACCACATGCACTGGCAAAGCTTTACTATATTACCAGCCTAACTGTTCAACAATCAACAGTTGATAGCAGTTGCAATAATCGCACATTTATAGAATCTCTACCACTTCCATTTTACCAATGTTATATCTACTTGAAGTCCATACTATTATATATTTGTCACCATTGATTTGCGAGGATGACATATAGCACTAATAATATTAGAGTTCAGGTAAATAGTACAAAGGCAAATGCAAGTAGTTTAGATTCGATTATTGCCTATGTAAACATTTGCAGAATTAGCTTACAGGTTATTACAAAAGAATAAATTTCTTTTATTGAAAAACAATCAATCTGTGGATTTAAGTTTAAGATTAATTGCAGTAAAAACTTTTTAGTCATCTGACGTGCTGCATTGTCTACTATTGTATTGTATTGTTTAGAGTTGCGGATTATCTTGGGTTTATGTAGCCCAGTATCACTGCGACCATTGCTGATCAATTGTGATCTCCACATACTACAGTTCATGGTCAAGATTACATTCTGCAAGAAAATGTAGTATTTTCTTGGCCGTAAGTTTTTTAATATCGTCTGGGTGCATCACATGCTTCCCCAGACAGATACATTGTTATCGCATTAGTGACGAGCAATCAGTCAAAATGTGCAAAGGTGTTTCTTCCTCCTCCTTGCATCCTCTGCACACTACTGCCGCTGATCCCCATGTTGTACATGTATCTGTTCAGTCCACAATGCCCTGTGAGTGCTCGTACTAGTGTGCGAAGGTTGTTTTTGGTTAGGTTTAAAGCCTCTGATGCCGCCTTTTTACAGGGTCTTAGAGTGTTTCATACCGGGAGTGCTTCTCCATAGTTGAATAGCTGCATAATGGCAGTACGTTTTCAAGGTTAGCTGGATTAGGCTTTGAGGGATGCCACAGAACGGTTCTGGTCCGATAAGGGCGTCTTTAGCAGCCTTCTTCGCCAGTTTGTCCGCCTGTTCATTGCCCTCGTGCCCAGCGTGACCCAGAACCCATCGTAGAACTACTTTGTTGTTGTGGCCCAAACAATTCAATGCCTGTTTGCAGTTCTCGACTTCGAGCTTCGATCTTGTTACGTCGGAGGCTAGTGCTAAGAGTGCAGCTTGACTATCAGAGTGAATGTAGATAGTACGATTGAGGTAGTTGTTTTGCAGATTGGCTGCCGCACATTCCAAAATGGCGTACACCTCCGCCTAGAATATTAAGGAGTACTTTCCCATGTTCAGACTTATAGCCTTCCTTGGGGCTTCTCCATAAATGCCGTCAGTGTACCACTTTAGGCTTCCATTTTTCCATACTATACGATTGTTTGACCAGTCGTCCCTGGTGGGTATCTCCACAAGATATGACTTGTGTGAATCGACTCTCGGGGGCATGGTGTCAGTAGGCATCCCCAGAATTGGTATGTTGCATATTGAGTCCTTCAGGTACCTCAAATTACCTGACAGCCATGTCTTCGCCTCCATGCTGGTAATCCTGTATATACTAGCCCTCCCCACCATTTCAATGTGTAGATGTAGGGGCGGCAGGTTTAGCAGAGCCTCAAGGGCAGCAGTCGGGGTGGAAGACATAGCTCCTGTTACTATAAGACAAGCAGTCCTTTGCAGACTGTTAAGTCTTGATATGATAGTACTCTGTGTCGTTTTTCTACTCCAAACCACCGAGGCGTAAGACACCATCGGCCTTATGATGGCTGTGTAGAGCCAGAAGGCTATATTGGGTTTCAAGCCCCATCTATTTCCCGCTAGCCGACAACATATCATCAGAGCTGTTTTAGACTTCCGTATAATTCCGTCTATATGTGCGTTCCAGGTAAGTTTCTGGTCCAGTGTTACCCCCAGATACTTGACCTCTGTCGAGAACGGAATGAGCCTCCCATTCATGGTCGGAGGCGAAAGCTTATCCAGTTTTCATTTCCTTGTGAATGGGACGACCACGGTTTTGCCTGCATTAATCGACAGATTATTGTCATGAGTTAATTTACACCATGAGTTAATTGTGTTCAGCGCCCTCTGCATAAGGTACGATAGCATACTTTGGCAGTTTCCTCTCACTATCACCACCTGGTCATCGGCATAGCCCAGGGTGTCAAAGCGGAGTTCAGCCATCTTATGGAGAAGCTGGTCCACCGCAAGAGTCCACAGTAGCGGAGAAAGTACTCCACCTTGCGGACATCCTCTTGTTGTTCTTAACTCTAGTGAATCGTTGAGTAGTTCCATCCTCACTGTCCTACTCTCTAGCATGGCTCTTATCCATCTTACATTAGTGGAGTCAATATCTTTATGGACTAATCCTCTTACTAATGTCTCGGTGGGCGTGTTATCGAACGCTCCTTCCACATCAAGAAAAGCAACGAGTGCTATTTCTTTATCGTCCAGTGCCTTTTCAACCTTGTCCATAAGGTTTAGTAGGGCAGTCACCGTAGATTTGCCGTTTCGGTAGGCGTGCTGGGTATCATGTATGGGTTTGTTGATGAGACTCCCTTGTCTGGTATAATTGTCTAACACCTTCTCCATGGACTTCAGAAGAAATGACGTAAGGCTGATTGGCCTGAAGGACTTTGGTGATGTATAGTCCTTCGTTCCAGCTTTAGGTATATTTAATATAATATATAAATTTAATAATATTTTTTTTTTTAATATTTAACAACATCACAGATTCCAAGATGAGTAGCTACAGCCCCAGTATTATGGAGTATCTGAGACAACGAAGGTACCACAACACCCAGACCCGAGTCAATATAGAAAAGTTCATTTTCTACATTGACCCGACCGGGAATCGAACCCGGGACCTCAGAGATAGCGACACCTTGAAACCGGCGTGCGAACCACTCGGCTACGGAGGTATGAACACGACTTTCACCTTAGCCCACGATTCTGAAATATATCCCCAGGCAAAACTACTACATACATGTATATGTGTCTACATATATGTTTACTACATATAAACAATAAAATAAAAACTCAACAAGCAAATACAAACTTTATTTAATAATTCTACAATTTTCGTTTAAAGGGCCAGAGGAACTTGAGCTTATATGCACCAAAGCTCAGAATGTGAACTAATGGTAAGTTACTCAAGTAGATAGTGTGGAAATGGCTCACAATATCGTAGCATTCTTCAGGTTCAAATACTTCTTGACCGTCTGGAGAGTCCTAGTAATAAAAAGAACTTAAAAACATTCATAGGTATGGCATTTTAAATACCTTTTTAAAAATGGCGCAATGTTGTGTTTTTTTAAAAAGATATTCAAAAATCCGACCTTCGGCTACCCAGTGATACATAATAATATAATTACGAGAAAAACTTAAAATAATGGTAAATCTTTAACGTAGCATTTTTTTTTGTATAGAGATAATTTTATAGACTCGCATTTCGGCCCTTTTATATTTAAGCTTCGTAGCTTCGTCATTTCTAGTTAATTACAGCTTATTTGGGCGTCGTCTTTTGTTCAAACCCATTAAAAGTTTGTATTTCTTTTATAACATACCTAATCGAAGAGAATCACAATGATTCAAGATCGCGATATACCCACGCGCTTTACCCCCGCTGAGTGAGTTTTTACGCTGAGAAATGCGGACTGAGACGGGCACCTAATGCGTCGTATTTTATACCTTATATTTATTGAAACAAGACTCACTATAAATTTTGAGTTTTCTGCGCCGAAGAAAATATCGTTAATATGATTTAGTTGGAACGTTGAAATTCACCAACCTAGATTACCTTATCATCATCAGCCCTTTTACGTCAACCCTGGACCAACGGCTTTACGTGTCTTCCGAAGCACAGAGTAGATAATAAATGTTGGTCACCCATCCCGTGACCGACCTTTCCGAAATTGCTTAACAACGGTCGCGAGCCGCGGCGCTTATCCACTACGTCACCGAGCTGCTCGTTTGATGACTAAATAAATGCATGAACATAAATCTTCAAATAGTATGTCGATTTACCTCTATTGTATGTCTTATCATTATCTCTTTAAAATAATACCAGACGTTTTTTGGTGATTGCCAGAAATACCATTTGAAGTGAATATGGGTATCTAAATAGATCGTTATCAAACAGGCCAGCTTGAATGCAGTGAAGTCCCGTTGCGCAGCATAGTCGATAGTTTCGGACAAAAAGTTAATCAAGAATGATTTCTCTGAGATATTGTAATTTTCAATAACTTTCTTCACAACCAAAAATTCTCCTAAAAATAACAATTAATTTAACAGCTTATCCCTTTTAGGGTTCCTTACTCAAAGGGTAGAAACGGGCCACTATTAGGTAAGGTAGTAAGACACCGCTGTCACTGTCATCTGCACGAAGTTGAAGTTTTCGCAGATGGTGTATTGATGGGTCCCATACAATAAGTATAATTTTTTTTGTAGTTTTTGTTTTGTTAGTTTCGATTGTAATCATTAAGTTTTGCTGTAACTTGTTGTGGTTGTCTAAAATAGAAACTCCTATTAAGATTTTCACAATAAGTGAACTTAATTTCAATAACAATAAATATATCTAATGTCTTTCATTTCAGATATACTATTGGTTATTTAAAAAAAATCTCCTTTCTGCTTGTTATCGCATTACTACAAAGTGAATGTTATTTTTATATTTTCCATATACCTCAATATTTACATAGAAATTGTATATTTTCCAAAAATTCATGCAATAAATTAAAGAAATAGTAGTTATTAAATTATATTAACAATATTTTGGGGATAAATAAATAATTTATCTCTTGTTTTTGTTTTATTTTCTATTTTCATATAACGTCACACGGGTGCTATTAGAGAAGGTTCCAGCGCGTTGGTAATTTACGGAATTTATACTACTTACCTACTTTCAGTTGCACAAATGCCATTATGGTTAAATGACGCCTTTGAGTTCTAAGAAATGTCAAATTTGTATGGGTAATGTCGCTTCAAACTAATGAGAATTTTAATTGATTTTTGTGCAACTGACTGTTTGGGGCATATTTATTCTTTTATTCCCGATTATGATTTACCTAAAAAAAACTTTAGACCTTCCTCTTTGTCAGCTTCGGCTGCTGCTATCATTTGAACAGCTTCATCTTCGTTCATTATTGCGCCTATCAGCAGATGGGGCCGTGCCTCTCGTTCTGGTTTTTTGAAAGGTGGAGCGTCATTTTCCTTAAGGGAATGAAGGTAAGATGGAGCTGATATTTGTACTTTGACTACCGCCTCTTCACTTTTTAATGGTATTATTGGAGCAGAAGCAGCTTTTATATCACCGTGGCTTGTACTACTAGATACAGAGTTCGACTTTGACTCTAATATAGTTTGCATTTTAAAAGAGATTTCTCAGATTATCTAATATCAGATTCCGTGTTCCCTAAAAAGCGCAACGACAGCTAGCTACATATTCTTAATCTGTGCAATATAATGAAGCCGTTCGAGATAAGTGTGTGCGTGAGCAAAGAGTTTCCCTATATATTATACTACTCTTTGGCTAAGAGCAAAAAGCGTGTATTATTTGCATATTTGCCAAATAGGGTATTTGACGCTTTTCTGAAAATTATTTTAAATGGTTCTTCGATACATTATAAACGCACTGTCAATATATTTCATGAGAATCTGTTCTATTTTTGATGAAAATAATTGTTAACGTTTAAATAGTCAAAATCGTGCAAAAAACGCTGCTCTATGTAATGACGCTGATCACGTGGTATTTGTGACGTCACATACCGGTAAATATGTCAAGAACGACATCTATTTATCAACTATTTATTTACCAAGTAAACAAATATTTGTTTATTTACGAAGTAAACAAATAGTATTACAATGAAATTGAAGTTAAATTATTTCTTTATTTTATTTAAACTTTTTTGCACAAATAACTCTGTTTTGACATAATACTTTCGATTTATGTGTGACGTCGCATGCCGCTAATAGTAGGGGAGCCCAAGCGGGGATTTCGGGATTTACTAAAGCGCGGCGATTAATATACCTTGTACCCAGTTAAGTACCTGGACCAATTATGAGCCCTATATAAATGGCCCGGCAAGGACGAAGGATCAGATTAGTAAAAAAAAATTGATCATCTGAAAATCTCGAGTGCGTCAGATTAAGGTAAGGTGAGCTAGTTACATGCTAAAATGTGACGTAAAGAAGGGGGAAAGGCTACAAAGTTGTAAAAAAAACGTCACTTTGACATTCTCGAGCGTGGCTAATTTTTTTTTATTTTATAGGGAATCATTCAAGGATTACACAAAAATATATAATCTGACGATTTTGACAAGCCGAAGTAATAAAAATTCATCGATAAGATTTAATGCGTGCAGCTACGTGATACCTATATTTCCTTCTTCGCATCACTATTTCTCTCTCACTCTTTTTCTATCTATTACTCTCTCACTCCGTTCCCACTCTGGTTTCGGTTCCCATGACGCCATGACAGCTGATGACACAGACTCGTTCGTGGCGTGATATTGTTAACATCGTATTTCTAACGTTTTTGCTTATTATGAAGATGATTCTAGCGATGAAGATGATAATTAATAAAAAATACTGTAAAAATTAAATTTTCATATAATCATTTTCATATAAATATAAGTATTCTACATAAAAAAACTTACACTTTTTTATTTGTATGCTAACTCCGGTGCTTTTCTATTTAATTAAGTTCAATGATTTGAAAAAATTAAAAAAAGTGTTTCATTGTCAGATTAAGTAAATCCCTTCAGATAATCGTCAGATTATGAGATATCACGTCTGGGGCATAAAGATGAACCATATATATCTTAATCTGACGCGCTTGAGTATTTCAAAATGGCGATTTTTTTTTTGCACATTCTAATAATGGTCACGCGTTTGCGTCACATCCAAATCGTCAGATTATTATATGAGAGCATTTTTTTAGGTTCACTTGACATCCCCTCAAAAAATCTGACGCGCTCGATAATATTTTTTTTTCATTTTCAACCCTTACGTATAACCACCCCTATCATGGAAACGATCAGATTATCATACGACAGTTTTTAAAAATGCGTAGGACATGGATGATATTAATATCTGACGCGCTCGAGTATGTCCATACAACATTTTTTTTTACAAAGAAAAGGTATATATTATATGATTTTTTTTTTGTTATCATCTAAGCTTCGCAACCCAATAGGTCTCTATGATGCTCGAGTAAAACCCGATTTTAGCATCGTGGGCTCCCCTGCTATAAACAGTAGTAGGGGTTCAACAGTAGTAGTTCGTCGTTCATTGAAATTCCTTTAAATGTTGCATTTTCTTATGTTATTTTACTAAAGCTGAACATATTTTATCTGCAGATTCTAAGAAACAAATTTTATGCGTGTTACGGTAGGTATAGTAGCGGGCAAACATCTTGGGGATTGCTCAGAACGCGTATTTTGGGTATATATACGTAACCAAGACGGCGAGCAACTTGTGTCCTGCTCACCCCGTCACCGGGACCTATAATCGGTTTCATACATTTGCTCAATACACGAGACGGAGCTATAATTCACATATTGAAATGAAACAAATACGACGAAAATGATTAAACGGAGCGTCGCGGGCTAAATATAAACACGGCGTCTTTTTTAAGGTAGTTAAGAAAAGCAAGGAAAGTAATGGAAAAAAAAATACCGGTCAAAATACTTATTATTTTTATACAATAGTAAAAGTGTTTGCTAACACCGACTGGCTTTTATTTATGGATTTTTGACGTAGATATTTCGTTTGTCTTTTAAGTAAACCATTGTAAACCTCAGATAAAATATTTTTAACAGAGTAGCGATTTTTATATACATAAAAAACAGTGTAAACTCTTTATAACGAAACTCAAGGGACTGAGCACTTTTTATCGTTATAGAGAGTTATTGTTATATGAAGTGAACAAATAATTGTTTTATTTACACAAATCGCTTTCCTTTTACTGACCATGTTAACAGTTTCAAAGTTAGTTGAAACTGTTAAAATGCGTTACCCAGTATGCTTGGTTGAAGGTTATCACTTCCAAGAAAACAAGCGTCATGCATATTGCACGTGTTCAAAGCAATTAAGAATAAAAAAAAGCAAGACCGACAGTTTAGGACCTCAGAAGTTTCAGTGCTTGAAAGTATTCTGTTACCTGATAAAATTACATAAACAATAATACCTAAAATGAATATTTACTGTATAAATATGAACTCATTTCTTTGTTATGGAGAATGACTATCTCTCTCTCTCTCTCTATAAAGAGAGTATCGATATATGGGTTTTCACGCAAACCAATTTGGGCACACTTCTACTTTAGAGGGAGTTTATTAATATAAAGAGTTCACACTGTATTTGAAAATAAGTGATGTTTTATTTATTTTTTTCTTATTGTAACTGTATCACTATCGTTTTTACTATCATGTCTTTTTTTCTTATTTTGTTTCCCACTTTTTCTGTGTTCAACACTTCTTTTCTCATTATCGCTTTCATCATCTTGTCTTCGTTTCTTATATTGTTCCTCTCTTCTGCTGTGTTCAACATTTCTTTTCTCATTATCGCTTTCATCATCTTGTCTTCGTTTCTTATATTGTTCCTCTCTTCTGCTGTGTTCAACATTTCTTTTCTCATTATCACTTTCATCATCTTGTCTTCGTTTCTTATATTGTTCCTCTCTTCTGCTGTGTTCAACACTTCTTTTCTCATTTTCGCTTTCATCATCTTGTCTTCGTTTCTTATATTGTTCCTCTCTTCTGCTGTGTTCAACATTTCTTTTCTCATTATCACTTTCATCATCTTGTCTTCGTTTCTTATATTGTTCCTCTCTTCTGCTGTGTTCAACATTTCTTTTCTCATTATCACTTTCATCATCATGTCTTCGTTTCTTATATTGTTCCTCTCTTCTGCTGTGTTCAACATTTCTTTTCTCATTATCACTTTCATCATCTTGTCTTCGTTTCTTATATTGTTCCTCTCTTCTGCTGTGTTCAACATTTCTTTTATCATTATCGTTTTCATCATCTTGTCTTCGTTTCTTATATTGTTCCTCTCTTCTTCTGTGTTCAACATTTCTTTTATCACTATCGTTTTCATCATCTTGTCTTCGTTTCTTATATCGTTCCTCCCTTCTTCTGTGTTCAACATTTCTTTTATCATTATCGATTTCATCATCTTGTCTTCGTTTTTCATATTGGCCGTCCCTCCTGCGTTCTACATTTCCTTTATAACTATCAGTTTTATCATCTTGTCTGTATTTGTCATATTGTTCTTCTCTCCTTCTTTGTTGATAGTCACTTCGTTTATGTTCTGGGTCTTGATCGCGATGTCTTTCATATCGGTCGTTCCTGTTTCTTACCCTAGTTTCATCACCACTATTGTGATCGTTCCAATCATCACGCCTTCTTCTGTCACTACTATCTCTGAACTCTCTTTCTGTGTCAACATCTTTGTCACGCCCATTTCTGTAATCTCGTGGTCTAGCAAATTTATCATCGTCCCTTTTTCTATTTTCAATTCTTTGAGCATCTTTACCGTAAGTGTCATAAAATCCATCATGTCCCCATCTTTCATTTTTATTGCTTTTATCTGTTTCTTCCGGTTCTGGTGTTTTAGGGCTCTTATCTTTATTCTTGGCTTTTTTAGTTTTCTTCTTTGTCTTTTCATTTGAAGAATCTGAAAAACATAAAAGTATAATATTATTGCTACCATCTTGGGTTGGAGTATATCTACAATTTTGTAATGACATCAATTTGAACAAATCAATAATTCACACATAGCTGGGGCGAAGCTATTGAGAAGCACGGAAAGACACTTGCAGTGTCTCGTGACATCTCGAAGACTTTTGACAGGGTTTGGTACGTAAGTCTGCTGAGCAAGCTTTCTGTATATGGAATCCCTGCAGGTTTTTGCTGGTGGTTATCTTTAGTTAACAGTCAATCAGAGTGGTCATCAACGGTTGTTTCTCTGACCTTATAGCGTTTGATGCTGGAGTGATACTTCACACCGGGACAGCTTTTGACTATATATAAAGCGGAGGTCCGGTCGTGAATGGAGTTTTGCAGCCACTTGGGGGAGGATGGCTCAGCTAAGTATCAGCTTGCCGTACTAGACTCGGTGGAACGCAGAGCCGAGCGACTTATTGGCGACTAAAAACTAGAGGAGTAAAAGCTGCACAGTCTGCGCCATCGGTTTAATGTTGCTTGCCTGTCCGTCTTTTATACTACGAGGAGTGGGCGCAGGAGTTGCATGAGCTCATTCTGCCTTCACCATTTTACCATCAGCAATCTAGACGCACGGCGAGATACCATCCCTATTTGGTAGATATTCGAAGATACCGCACAAAACGCTATTTTTCTTCTTTTTTACTGTGCAATACCAAGGAGCTCCCTGGCGACGTCTATATTCCCGACTGCATTTATATGCAGTCGGGAATATATGTTATCCCAGTCCTATTTAAGGCAAGAGTGAATAGGTTCTTTCTGAGCAAGTCTGTCCCACCGTCGCTCTTATGATTTTTTTTTTTTTTTAATATGGTCAAGAGACTGAACGGTAGTTATAATTAACCAATTCTTCCTTGAGATTGTTCTTTCTCTACTAAAAAAACAAAACAAGAGCAAATATACTACAATAATTGATACAGTAGAGGGTCGATTATCCGAACTGATTGGGGGACAGGGGTGTTCAGATAACCGGTTTTTTCGGATAATCGAACTGTATTGATATAGCCATACATATTTATTTATCCACGGGTGAATAAAAGCCATATTTACATATGTACCTTCATAATTATATCTTTATTGAAAATAGGAATTAGAAAACAAATAAACTGAAGTATTTGTAACAAAACATTCTAAGTAAAATATTGGCGAAAATCGAAGAGTATTAAGTGTAATTTACTAATGCTTAAAAAATCTTTAATTTTCGTCTGCCGAAGCAAGCCTATCGTTTACGAGCGGCTAGGTCACGTATTTTTTAAGGACATATATTTGATACTGGTCGTTCTCCACTTTTGTTTCAAACCAACGCAAGGCAATATCTAAGCAAGTAAACGCTTCTGAAGCACCAATTGTGTTTTCAACTTCATTATCTGAACTTGCAGTAGATGAAGTGGTGTCAGTGTTATTATTAGTCATCAGATTTAATATTGTAGAAATTGAATATTGTTGAAGTCGAAACAAGTGCGCGCACGAGCGCGGGGCGCGGGAGAGTCGGGAGTTCAGATAAGCGGTCATTCGGTTGATCGACGTTCGGATAATCGACGCTCTACTGTAACTACAATAATTGAGGTCTAAAGCAAGCATTATAAATAAACAAAAAAACCTGTTATCTTACTAAGAGTCAGATCTGGACCTAGGAACACGAAATCACCTTGTTTCGTCAACCTATTATTACAAGATAGGCAACACGCCATCTTTCTCGCTCAAGCAAATGGCGCTTCCGAGCGATGGAAAAGAATAAGAAAAACCGTGCTGCCAGATGTAAGCTAAATCAGATAAGAGACGCCTATCAGGTCTCTATAAAGAAGGACAATTATACAAACCCATTTAAAATATCAATAATATTTTAGAGAAATTTTTGAAAATTTCATCAGTCCCAGGTACCCAAGATGAGGTAACTGCTATATATTTTATAGAATTGTCAATTCTAAATCATTCCGCTCTCAGCTTTCGTTGCGCGCCCCCGTGCGCGTACACGACTCCCTTCTACCCAAACTGTGAGTACATCTCGTGCCTTCTGCACACCCCGAGCGCAGGCCCTGCTGCTTTTGTTTTTCTCAAAACATTAAAACAGTAAGACTTGACTCACTATCAACTTCTTGAGTCGGATACCATACGGTGGCAACTAAGCCGGCTGAGCGATCCCGGTGTGCTCGCTAAGGCCCCTCAGGCTTTAGCAACACCGAAGACCCGATCCCAGTGCACTTGGGCCTTGTCCCAAGGGTGAAGGTTTGCCGCTAACTCCATTAGAGATAGCCGCATTTTTCCGCATCCCCATTCCCCCCTCGCTCCGGCGCGCGGTCGGTCTTTTTGCACACTCGCCCTATCTCCCTCTAACCTACTAAGGTAAGTGTGACGGAGAGAAGTACGAGTGAAATATAACTACTCCTCTCTCTCTCTTGCATTGCCGATATGTTGGATTTACTCAAGCAAAAAAACATCTATTCGATGAGCTACAGCGCATATTGCCTGATAGCCTCTACCAAGCCGTCCTTAGCGCGGCGATGTCGACATTACAGGCATCCCCCCCCCCCAAACTTCCGCAATGGAGTGTGAAAGCACATCCATAAAGAGGACCGCTTCACAGCGATCCCCCCCCCCCCCCGCCCCCCCTCGCCTTCTAAGGACGTCTGATTCCGACGAATCCTCCACCAACTCATTTCATACAGTGAGAAGCCGCAAGAAGCGTTGTAAGCCACGCTCCCCTAGATCAAGTGCGGACGCTCCCCGGACAACGTCGCTCCCACATCGGGCGGGGTGTCCTCGGTAAGCAATACTGCCGAGAAAACCTCCCTCGGCCCAAACCTTACCAGAGGCGATACCGGCAAGAAAGCCACTCGGGAGAATACTCCTAATATTACTCCCTCCCTCGCCCCGCTGCGGCCGCATAATAAATGCGCTCCGCAGCCGGGTAAACCCAAACCTCCGCCTCCCGTATTTATACGGGACAAATCAAGGTGGGCAGAGGTCTCGAATCTCTGCACATCCAACAAGATAAACTACACCCATGCCAAAAACATGGGTATAGCTATCCGGGTGGAAACACCCACTAGTGATGACTATAGAGCCCTCACTAGACTTCTAACCCACCACAAGGTGGGTTACCTACGCTCTCCCAGAGGAGCGTAAAGTTCGTGCGGTTCTGAGAAATGTTCCGTACGAACTCGCCACCGATCTGATCCATAAGGATCTAAATGAACAAGACTTCCTTGTGGAGTCTGTTCATAAAATGCATAGTAGAGCCGGCAGGCCTTTCCATCTGGCTCTACTCATCATTTCAAATGTCCCTAACGCTCGTGACATTTTCAAGGCTAAAGATCTAAGGGTCTGCGGCCTTACCGGGGTTAAAGTAGAACCCCGTCACCGACGTGGTACCCCAGGACAGTGCCACCGATGCCAGCTTTACGGGCATGCGGCGGCCAACTGTTCCGCGACTCCGAGGTGCGTAAAGTGCCTCGAGTCACATCCCACAAAGGAGTGCTCTCGAACTCGAGACACTCTCACCCCTCCGGCCTGTGTACTGTGTGGTCAAATCGGCCACACAGCCAACTATAAAGGTTGCCCACGAGCGCCAAAGCCCAAACCCTCTTCTAAGAAGAAGGGTAAGGGCCCGGCTCAACAAAGTACCTAAAGCCCCCCCCTCCGCCCACTGCGGCGAACTTCCCCGCCTTACCAAAGGCGAATCACTCCCCCCCCCCCCCCCCCCCCCGAAACCCTTTCAGACGAAGCCCTCACCAAAGGTTTCTGTCTCACCTCCCAAAACCGCCCCTGTTTCTTCATCTATAGCCGATGACATAAATCTAGTTTTTTACTTGATTCGTGAAATCGACATAAATGAAATCTCCACCCTAGCGGCTAAGCTCCGCCGCGCTTCGTCCACGCAGGAACGCCTTCTGGCGCTTTGCGAATACGAAGCGTTATTAAGTGCCTTATCATAAGCACTTATAACATGTTAGGTTTCCCAAACCTCCCACAATCCATCCTTTGGCCGACCTGGACCTCCTTACGAGACCCAATAGGCCAAATCCACCCCCATCATACTGACCCTTCAGGTCAACCCTCTTTGCCCTCTCGACCTGACATCCCCTCAGGATGCAGGCCACACAAATTGTTACGGGCATCAAATAGCACCCTTCTGGTGGTATGTGATGCTCTCCCCCCCCCCCCCGCCCTCCACACGCCGACCCTTCAGGCCCTACCCCTGTCCGATCTGGCTGATCGTTCCCCTTCAGGGAATCAGCTGTATTACAATCCGATGAGCCGAGCCGAGTCACAATTCACGTAGGTGAATAGTGACGTCTGCGCCGCCCCCTCCCTTGAAGGCGGCCGCTCCGGTCGAAGGTTCGTTGCCGCCGACCCAATATTTTAATTATTTCATAAAATTTTTCGAATTTCTAATTTTTTTGTTTTTACAGGTGGACACATAAACTTTCTTATACTCCGTTTTATTTAAAGTGGCACAAGATGTAAACAAATATGGCGACATAATAGTTTTAGTGATGGGACATATTATTATGAACTTGATTAATTGAATTATCTTATTCATATCATTCGGTGACTGACTTTTTCCATAAAACTTGTCTTAAATGAATATAACTATTCTCAGAGTAGTATAATATACAATAAATATTAAAAAATCCTTATATTATCACAATAACTGAACAAGTTTACTTAATTAAATACTACATATTAATTTAAAGTGAGAGTTTATGGGAAATAAATATTAAGCGACCCTCTGGTAAATATTAAGTATATTACATTTTACTTCGTCGTTTGATACCAGTTTCACAGTAAACAGTGCAATTACAGTTTAAATTTACCTTAAATGATGTGAGACAAATTTTGAACAATAGAGTGTCTGAATCTATTTTATTTCTTCTGAAATATTGCTACTAAACGTCGATTAAGCCATTTATTTTATATGAAATTTATATACATTGAAATTGACAAACAACCGAATTGTCAATTCTCTCTGTCTGACTTTAAATATAACAAAATGATGTTTTTCCAATCGCTGATCATTTTTATATAGACAAATTGACTATCATGACAAATCAATCACTTTCAGTGTGCACATTTTTTTAACCGGTGACTACTTTATGATTCTTCCATTTCTTAAGCGAGATAGCCTATCTTCTAAATACACCTTACCCAAATATAGCACAAAATTATATGTTATAGTATAGTTGGCAACCCTAGTCCAGACTGAGCGAATAAACAGACAACACGAGATTCGGCGTTTGCTGCCGCATGCCCCATACACATTAGTTCGCCTTCACGTCGTTTGGGACAACTCCCGTAGAAACAAACGACTAACTGGATGGCGTCCTTTCATTAACTGTACGCAGAATAACTTGAACAAAACTAAAGAAAATATTACATTGCAGTAGATTAAGATGGTAGATTTTGGTTGCGACAATTGCTACTGTACATGACACAAAATTTGAAATTAATTCTAACAAATCATTTATTTCAAACTTTTTTTTATTTATACGTATTTCATTGAAGATGTAAATTAAATTATTAATTTTATTTAGTATTATTTATTACCTTGGCCTTAAGGAGGGCGGCAATACCCAGAAGAAAAATGGGGGAGTTGTGTAGAGGCTTAGGGGGGTGATTTGTAATTTCATCTACGAGGACTCTTCGACACTGATTGAGCTTTCGACTATCAACTACGAGTTTTGAACATCGACTAATCGTTTGATATTTCTCTCCGTGTAATTTATATATAGATATCTGTTTTGTTTTATTGAATGAACAAAACAAATTTCATGTCAATTGAAAGTTATAGAGGTTTTAAAGTACGTAAAACAATGGGGGCGCTTAAAACTTTTTTATTCTCAAAGTGGGCAGTAGACGAGACAAGTTTGGGAAGCCCTGACCTAAACTTTTGGATATTATAATAAACTGAAATTTCATAAATAATTAACCACTTCATAAATAATTAGCAAAATTCCTTAAAAAAAAATTTGATTTATAACCCCTTTTTTAATTTTTTTAAATATTACAAGGTTTTACGCACCACTAGAACTCGATGAAGAGTCTTCTGAACTGGAACTGCTTGAACTGGAGCTGGAATCAGATTCACTATCTAGATTGATTTCTTGGACTGGGGCTGGAACATTCTATAAAATATGACAATTGTTAAGACCATTGAAGTTCAACCCAATGTAGATAAAGAAATGATATTTATTAGTCATTTACCTTTGGCATCTGTTTCAAATGTTCTCGCAACTCATCAGTAAGTCCCCCTAAGCCAATGGATGTAAAAAAGTTTATTGAGAATCTTGTATTCTTTGGGTTGTCTCTAGGGAATATTCCTGAGAAAGCATCTTGTAGAGTTCTGAAAAAAAAATTAGAAAGGGAAATAAATGGAAAGCACAACACAAATGATAAAACATGAATCCATAATATTACTCACGGATCTTTAAGGCGATCATTTAGTTTCTTCAAGCCCATATATTCAGCGAGTTCTTGGAATAAAATCTTTATATAAATACGGCTGGAACTTGTTGTATCTTCTTCATTTAGCTTCACACACTCCATTACTTCCCAGCTAATGGAATCAGTGAAAAGTAGGTGAGCAAAGAACTTACTCACATTTCTTAATCTATTAGTGTCCAGTCTATGAGCAGTTCCATATGAGTCTTTGAATATCTCTTCAAATGGACCTATGTATATCCTGTTTATATTACAAAACCTTTGTGCTAGTAAACCATAGAATTTTTCATACGTCCTCTGTTCTGCACAACAGTCAAGGAACATGTGGCACAATTCAACTTCCTGGCCAGGTTTCAGTTGCATTTTCATAAGCTTGTGAGCGCACTCCTCAAAATCTAAACTAGAGTTTATAGTCAAATAAATTGTCCTCCTCAGAGCAACAAGATTTGTCTCAGTATTATCTATGATAGTGACTGGTTTCTGTTCACTAGTTTCTTCATCTTCAGACTCCTCACTACCACTTTCTTCAGAACCATCTTCTTCACCTGACTCCGCATCAGATCCTAGTATTTCCTTACTCAATGATTTGTACTTTTGTTCATTCTCCTCATATTTTTCATCAAACTTGAAGACATCTGTAATCATAGTATTTTTGTAGTTTTTAATTGGCAAACAGTAATGGCTAAATTGGCAACGCTAATTAGGTTTTAGAGTATCAACTTTGTAAGTTGTGATATTATCAGAAAATATTATTATTGGTTTTTATTGTTGATGCAGCCATCTTATGAATAGTCCTTATACATCATCATCAGCCCTTTTACGTCCCCACTGCAGGGGCTCAGGCCTTCCTTATGGATGGTTAAGGAGGATGGGCCATGACCCTCCACGCTGGCCCAATGCGGATTGGAGGGTATTAACGACTGCAAATGCAGCCGGGACCAACGGCTTAACGTGCCTTCCGAAGCACGGAGTAGCTCGAGATAATAATTTTTTGGTCACCCATCCCGTGACCGACCCTTGCGAAAGTTGCTTAACGACTACGATCGCGGGCCGCGGCGCTTATCCACTACGCCACCGAGCTACCTTCTTCTTAGTGCTTAGTCCTTATACACTAGTATTATAAAGACGAAATATTTGACTGTTTGATTGTACCGAAAATGATTTGAAAGTACTGGATGTATATAAAAAAATCATTCACCTACGAGAAGCTTCATCATAGGCGAGTCACATAGGCTAAGCTAGTTTATAATAATCATTTATGTAATTATATTAATTAATGAAAACTAAGAAACTGATTTCGATTGAACTTCGTTTTTAAAACCATTATCGATTCATTTAATTTAAATTTAAATTTTGGTGTCCATAAATAGTGAGGTTAAGTAAACAATGATCAATGTCAAAAGTGTCTTTTTTAATGAATAATGCATTTTATTACTAAGATTATTGTCTAATACAGAAAATAAATTATAGATTTAAAAAATACCAGTTTTAGGTAAACACTGCTCAAAAAGCTAGTTTCATTATTTCTAAATTTGACATTTGCATGTGTTAATTTAGTCTTTGAGATTAAAAAGTTGACTTTAGTATGGTAAAGTATAAATTAGAAACTCATGATCAACAAGAGAATGACCTGTTCTAATGTTTTAAAAATCATTGAATGTTTGCAAAGTTAAGTAATCATAAATATAAATATACTCACTCAATATATCCTGGGAATCTGTAGCATCATCTAACATCAACAGATGTGTAAACTGCTCTTCCTCAGGTACCAGTTCTAACTCTTCAATCAGTGCTGGATGATCTTTAAAGCCATCCTTCCACACTTGGAACATTACCTCAATCATGTATTGAACCCTTTTGTCTAGTTGACCTTCATGTAAAATGTTTCTTAGCATTTCAAAAATGGCATTGACACCTTTGCTTGATACTTCTGTGAGTTTTTGCCCACATTCCTTTAAAAATGCTATAGCAACTTCAACTGAATCATCAGTTGGTGTCTCAACAAGCAATGTTAGTAACTCCAAAGCGAGAATCTCATGAGCCACTCTTTGGTTAACTAAATGAGCAATGAAAGATGCTGAAGAAATACATGTAGGTTTATCATTCCTTTTAAAACCTCTTTTGAACTGAATGACTAATCTTTTGAGTAATAATTCACCAATATTTGGGAATCGAGAATTAACAGCTGACACGAGTGCAGCATAAACATTAGTGAATGTTGGTGAAGCGGCTTGTGCCTGTATTACTGATCGACAGAGCAAACCACGACCACGCACAATGTTTTCTTTTAAAAGCTCTTTAATAATTATTCCTATATTACCAACGTTAATTTTGTTGATGTGACCATGTATTGATTTCTTTAGGGCTTCCCAGGCTAGTCTTTGGTAAGCTACTGACGATTTATCAGTAATCTGTGCCTGCATCATCCTCAAACGAGCAGGAGGGATGTAAGCTCCACCAGTCCTAGTATTAAGCATGTCTGTTTCTTTTGGTTTCCGTTCGGGTACAACCTTTTCCGGCTCTACTGCTTTGCGAGGTAGACTTTCCTTTTCTTGTTTTACAACTCTCCGAGGTGATGCGGACTTCGAATGTCTACGCTTGCGTCTAGAAGTTCTCCTTGTGCTGGTATCCGACTTCGAACCCATTTTATCAAAATGGCAAATATCCAATACTCAGTTCTGAACTCTAAGATTAATTTTAATTTTATACACACAAATGCGTCACTACTCACTCAAACAAATATGAGAAACGCACAGAATAAACGATAACGAAACGACCGATAGATAATTGACATTTACAACAGAGAAATTTAAAACGTAGCCATCTTTAATTAGAGACATTGACGTTGACGTTAGTGGTGTGCGGATCGATTACCATAAAATAATTAATCGGTATTTAAAATAATCAGTTACGGTCGATTATGATTTTCTAATAATAACAGTCGATTATTTCTTACAACATTAGCAATAGGAATAGTTTAAAACGTTAGCATAGTACCTACTCACTTTACTTCGATGGCTCAGCAACCCTTAGTAAATCGCGAGTGTGAATATTATTAGTAGATTTTCTATTACTTATTATGGCAAACCTGGAATACTCTCACGTACAAATAGGCAACTTTACTCTTTGGTCGGGGAATTCCCGATGAATGAATGAACGAACGGCTCTTACAGTTTTATTTTAACAAATAGAAATTGACCGTTTCTTACTAAATACACATGTATATATACACGGTACATACATATACCAAAATAATATGTTTTTCATTTGTAGTATGTAAATATTAAGAATTACGTTATAAATGTGATTTGGATGGAATGCACTAGTATACAAATAATTCACGTTCGATAAATGTGCTTCCTTAGCAGATTCTTATCACGTACCCTAAAATCCCCATCTTAGATTTAGGTAGTATATAAGACGAAGATTGATTAGTTAAATAGAAATGTACAACCTGGAACATAGTATCATTTTTCTCTACCGCGCTGACGCTATTTCACACTTTTTTGTTTGTCGGTTTGTTCCGGCTAATCTCTGAAACTGTTGGACCGATTTGGACAAGACTTTCACTGGCAGATAGCATGTTTGATAAAGAATTACTAAGGCTACTTACCACGAGGATGAAATCGGGGGTACAGCTAGTTTAATTCTATAAATTTTGCATTCACAATGCTGGTATGGTAAACAATGGATTTTTAAGTATTTTTTATTAACTTTTTAAATATGATGGAATTAATCTGAAATCATTTATAAACTTTTTGAGTAAAAATATTTAATAATCATTGACATGAATAAATTAATATCGATTGTTAATCGATTACGATTCATACTATAATCAAGTAATCGATGTGTATAATAATCTAACGGCACATCATTAGTTGACGTGGTGCTCAGCGTTTCCATTATCGGGTTTTGACATAGAGTAAGGTAGAGTGGAAATATTTTCTATGGTTATATAAATATCATGCAATCTGAAGTTGACATCAAAAACATCATGTTGTCTTTTTTTAACTAATAAGAAGTTTCTTTAGTAAACAAAGATAACATTAGTGTGACAGTTCAAAATTTTTTACGTGACGTCATGAGATATAGCTATCGTACCACCTGTCAGCCATTTGCAAATTTGCTTTGCGTATTCTCGGAAGTAGTTCAGCTGTCAGTGTTATAAGTTTTGTGGTTATTTTCATTTATAACTTTAATTTATATAACTTTCATGGCAGAAAATTGTAAATTATTTATGCAAAACAATGCCTAGGTGCTATATAATTGGTTGTGCGTCATCAATATCCCGCAAACCGAGCAATATTACGTTTCACCGGTAAGTTAAACACTTTCTTGGAATAACAGTATTTAAAACGTAAGTAAGTTATTCTGAAAATGATTGCGTGTATAAATCGATACATATCGTATTTTGGCGTGTTCTATTTATGCTATATTGCTCTTTTCGTTTATATTTTTATAATATTTCGGTTCGTAAATAATATTGTTTACATGGCTAGTGTTGTTACTTTAACATATGGTTTATATCGATAATTTTAATATTTAAAAATATATTAATTATTTTAGATTACCAAAAGATGAAACAAATAGGAAAATGGCCGAGTTACATAGAAGCAGAAAATATTAAATGTAATGAAAAAGTTACTTTTATCTGCTCACTTCATTTTAGGGAAAGTTGTTTGAATCGAACTTTAAATATAATAAAATTACGAGATGATGCATTGCCAATCAAATGCTTTGGTAAGAATTTTTGACAATTGCTTTTAACTTATTTAAAAAAAAATGTCTATTACACTTAGTTAATTTTCATTTGATTTTACTGATTTATTTATTTAGTTTTTTATATAGTCATTTTGTTATTCTATAAATGTACCTTATTTTTAGTCTTGCGGTCATATGACGACTATTTTAATTGAAAAAATCAGAATGCAATATATAATAATATTAAAATATAAAATTCTGATCATAATATACTCCCAGTAAAATATACAATAAAATGAGTAAAATAATTTTAATAAAAATTAAAATATGCACAGTTATCAAATTAAAGGCATAGTTAAAGGTTTTCTTTGCTGTTCAATAGTATAATCTTAATACCCAAATAATTATTTTGCGGCGTGGATGTTTATTTTGCTGATGCATCATAAATTACGCTACCTTTTTGAATTTAAATTGCTGACCGTTATCATGATTGTTCACAGAACATGAATTGCAGACTGTTTTAGTGCTGAGAAAATATTTGTATGCTTGCCTATTGATTAATCGGCTGTTTTCTTCTTGCTAACCAAATTTTTAAATAAAATGCCAATTGTTACTTCTTTAATAATGTTACTGTTATGCCAATTGTTACTTATTCATCACCAACTTTGTTTTCTTTATTTTCTCTTGTTTATTCATCAAAGTTTACAGCATTTTTATGTTCTTTTACCAATAATATAATACAAAGAATATGTAGGTTTTTCAAGTTTTCTATGTTTACTACTAAACAAGACGTTCTGAACTAAAATTGTGACACAGTACGCACGGTATCTCACTTAATGAGGAGGAAGCGAAATTTATTCAGTCAAAACAATTTATTGAATAAATTTATAGACAAGTTGGCTTACTAGTTACAAGCATATAAGAAAGTCGAAACTCTGTGCTTATAGTTCAGCAATCTATTACGGGAAACCTTGTATCGAGAAAAGAAGAAACTGTAAGAAAGGAACCGGTAAGAAACTGCAAGGGCTGCTTTTGCACCCTGTTTAATTTCGTACTGAAAAATAAAAAATGACTTCATTGGACCAAAATGTCACTTTCCACCAAAACAATAAAAAATATATAACAGACAAAAAAAGCATAATAATTCATTCGTCAATCGACTGATTAAAAGCTTATTATAGTTATCGTGGTAGTTATCTTGGACAGTATTCACACTTCCCGTGGATGCAAAATTAAACTTATGTTAAAAAAACTATTTAATTATAATTGCAAAATGTCAACTTGACAATATATATGGAAATAATTATAAAACACGATTGATATTATTGTAAAACTTTTAAGATATATATTTTGGTACTATAGTTCTTAAAACTATGTAAAATTGGCTATATTAGAGGAAAAAGAAACATATTTATCGAGGTACAATCATATTATAAAATTATATTATTAAATAATATAAATGTGAAAGTTTGTAAGGATGGATGTTGGTTACTCTCATGTAAAAACTACTGAACGGATTTTGATGAAATTTGGAATACGAATAATCTTTTACCCGTGGGAAGCGCCATCATACGCTGGTAACATATGTTATATTTACTATAGTGACGCAACGGAGTCGCAAGAACAAAGAACGCAAGAAATTTTAGATGTCCAACAAAATACGAGCAAAAGATTGCTTAATGATTTATAAATAATTGATAAATTCACGCCACTTTAAAAAAAATATTATTTTCTTAATACTGGCGTGAATTTTTCAATTTAATTAATAATAATCATAAATAGGATTGGTACGTAAGTGTGAAATGAATAGAAGTGTAATAGGTAATAGTTTAGCCATGCCCTAACAATGAAAATTATATTATACGAGGGTCAAACTGAAAGTTCTTAGAAAATCAAAAACTGATTACATTAGCCAGTTATTAGTTTTATTATATCTTTTCAAAATATTGTCCATTCACGTCAATACACCGCTGCATGCGATGGAACCACTGGGAAAAGCACTTTGCCCACTCGTCCTTAGGGGTCTCTTCAATGGCATCGCGATACGCAGCCACCGCTTCTTCAGCATTCATAAACCGCTTTCCTTTAAGTTTTTCTTTAATTTTTGGAAATAAATAAAAATCACAAGGCGCGAGGTCGGGGCTATACGGCGGGTGACCCAGTAATTCAACGTTTGATGTCGCCAAATAGTCGATCGTTCGCTTGGCGGTGTGCGACGAGGCGTTGTCGTGGTGAAGGAGGATCCTACTGCGAGGTCGTTTCTCTCGAACTTTTTCCAAGACAAGTGGCAAACAATTGGTAGTGTACCATTCTGCAGAAACTGTTTTTGATCCTCTAACACAATTGTTGCAAAATGACCTATCCTTCCAAAGAACGAGGCCACCATTTTTTTTCCCGCACTTCGATCTCTCTTCACTTTAGTTGGCAACTCCTCGAAAGGAAACACCCACTGAGCAGATTGTCTTTTGGTTTTAGGATCATAACAGTAAATCCAGCTTTCGTCACCTGTTAGTATGTCGAACACAGCATTTGAGTCACCTCCGTTAAATCTTTCAATCATTTTACGACACCAATCCACACGATGGAGTTTTTGAGCCTCAGTCAAATTATGAGGTATCCACCGGGCGCAAAGCTTCCTGACCGCTAAATGTTCGTGGAGGATTTTGTGCACTTGACTCATACCGATGCCTAAGCTTGTCCGAATCTGTTGATAGGTCACTCTTTTGTCAGTCTCTATCATACGCCGCACAACACAGATGTTATCTTCAGTCGTCGCCGTAGAAGGCCGTCCCTCACGTAAATCATCAGTGAGATTAGTGCGACCACGTTTAAACTCATTAAACCAGTTGTAAACAGTCGCACGAGATGGGGCTTCATCGTGAAAGGCCAATCGTAGTCTATCATAACTTTCTTGTTGACTTAAATGACATCGAAAGTCATAAAAAATCATTGCACGAAAATTTTCTCGTGTTAAATTCATGATGACGTGACACAGACAATTTTCAATTTGCCGCCAAATCGTAAAACAAATGACAAATGAATGAAATATATACTCAGTAATATTGGCAAAGAGTTATATTTTCAAATTTTAGAATTATTTTTTTATTATATTGTTTATAAGTGGCCAGTTCTAAGAACTTTCAGTTTGACCCTCGTATTATTTAATAAGTAGTAGTATTGTAGCAGTTTCACGAAATACTAACTTTTATTTAATATGACTTCAATGTCGATACAAATATCGATATCTTGGGTCACGCCCTATGACAATTCGCCATCGAAGAATTTGCGTTTGAAGTTTAGGCATATACGCTTTTTTCGTAGGTATGGCCGGTCCTCTTCTTTTATGTCTATGGGTTTTGATATTGCTCTAGTCTTTTTTTTTAAATCGCCCTAAATTGCCCTAAACTATTCTCCAAAATGCAGGGCTAAAAATTTTAAAAGTTAGAAATAAAAACAAAATTCACTTGTGTTCTCTTTTTATTTTAATGAAATGATTATGAAAAAAAAGAAAAATAATTGTATTACTATTTGCGACACATTAACCATAAGAAGTACACGATAAAAATATGATGCTGATTTTGAGGCTGAGGGACTGGCTTTTAATTTTTTTAGCTGCAATATAGGGTTCCAAAATCGGGCCTGTCATGCCCAGTTTAGTGTGTAACAAACCATTAAGTGTTCCATTGTGGAGTTTGTTTCTTTTGTCAGATTTTATATTTTTTGAAACACTAAATAGAAGTTAAAAATGTTGTTAGATAACATGTTCATGTTAAAAAAGTTGTTAACATTGTGTTAACTACTTGCTGTTTGTATGTGAATCCTGTAACTTGTTGTAAGATGTTCGTAGCTTTTTGCTTACCTAGACGTAATTCTGGTAAGTATTTGGATTCAGGAAACAAATTTCGGCCACCAAATCCTCAGTTATTGATAAATCATGTTTTGCAAGAAAATCGTATATCTTCAGTTCCATTTCTAACACTTTATTAGTAGAGTTCAAGTGTCCACTTAAGAACGATTTGATATTAACATATTTTGATGTTACGGCCATCTGTTTAACATGTTTTAGATTTATTTGATGTCGCAGTAATTCAGTCTTACCACAAGTAATGTGACAATCGCAGAGTTTACAATAGGCTTTAGTTTCACCTTTTTCCGAACGTTTTAAATTATGCTTAAAATCTGGATTCTCCAACCATGAGGTTTTAAAATTTGTATGTATTTTTTTGCTTTACACGGTACTGTGCCTGAAGATGACGGTAACTTATGATTTTCTTCCATGTTCACTAGTTTTTACTAACGTTAACATTCTAAAACTGGCAAAGAAACACTATTTACTTATTTTGTGAATTTCTATGCCACGTCGTTGCTTTTAAAAGTTGCAGCAATAAGTAATGAATAACAATGAAAATAGTTTGTAAGCTAATGCAACTGGACCAAATTCTAAGACATTCATAAGCAAAAGATATCCATGAACTCATTGCTATATTACACTTGGTCTTATATTAATGTGACTGAAAATAAGTACAAACAACACGCTAAAACTGTGCCCTAAAAAAGGGTGAAATCCCTAAAAGTGGAAACACTGGTTGTGCTGACGATTAATCAATTAATCGATGTGTCATCGTCCGAAACTGTGTATAAAATTAAACGCATTTGTGACAATTAAAACTTCCAATAAATTGGCCGATTTAAATCAATCATGACATTTAAAACTACCAATAAATTGGCCGATTTAAATGCTACCGTAAAGTTCATATAACATATTAATTCTCCGCTTACACGGCACTAATTTAAATGAAATGGCGTCAATGATAGGTCTATGTCTGTAATCGCTTGAAGTTATTTTTGTAAATCTTCGAAAAAAAATTGCATTTATATAAATTTAAGTTTGTATCGTGATCAAGATATCTGTTATAATTTTTATTACCTATTTAATCAAAATAACCTATAACCGTAACTAATAAATAAATTGAGAGTTTACTACTTTTTTATATTTTTTGTCTTCTACGTCTTCGCACGTAGAATAATACGTCCAAAAATCTTATCGTACCTAGCGTAAGTAACGTGTAGCTTCACAAAAGTTCTATTTACTATTTCGATTACTCCAATTAACCATCACAAACGTTTTATTTCAAGCCGCATCGCCAATATTAATAAGTAGTAATTTTCAGTCTAACAAGCATAGACCACTCCCAAAGCGATGACAGCCGTCAATGTCATAACTTGACGTTTCGCAAAGCACTATAGATCACTATAGGGATCATCGCCATCTTTCATTCATTTCATTTTCATTTTACATGTAGAAATTTATTATTCACTTGACATTGGCAGAATTGTGCGAAATGCGCAGATAAGCCATTAATAAAAGAAGAAGAAGATCTTGACAGAATTTAATTCTGGAATTCGCCATCTTTCATTCATTTCATTTTCATTTTACATGTAGAAATTTATTTATTCACTTGACATTGGCAGAATTGTGCGAAATGCGCAGATAAGCCATTAATTAAAGATCTTGACAGATGACAGCTGCAGGCGACAGATGGCGTTTTATTCAACTCTTTTAATTAATACAGGCACCACTTCATTAAAAAAGTTACTTATTTTAATATTGAGTTGCCCAAGGAAAAAATAAAACAATTTTTTATTAGTATTTATGACTTTATTCATTACGACAATGAAACTACAAAAGTTGCCTGCACTTCGAACAGCAATTTCCATATAGGTACCTCACAAACTGAAGCACATTAATCATCACATAAAATACATAAATTAACGACAAAAAATCCTTTATAAGAGAATAGGAGTACTAACATTACGCAAAAATTACGAAAAACATATAATAATAATAATTCTGATAAGCTATACTTTGCATCGCTATACATGATTAGTCTCGATCGTGATAATCTAAAAGGCTACACAATACCCAAGGCAAATTGGTCAGAGGTTAACACGTCTTCACCGAGAAACAAGCTATAAACTTACGTCTAGTCCCCTTGCACCAGCGTACATCGAGTGGAAGCAGGCAAGCCGCTCCGCCAAGCAACAGGTCGTTCTCTTATATACATTTATAATTATCTCCCACGTTAAAACAGACCGACGCTAAATCAATGGCAAAAATATACTATAAAATACAGGAATACTCTCACTTAACGTTAGCGCGACTAACCCGCGTAACTCGCCGCTGCTACCCGACAGATGCGTATAATTTGTGCCTAACATCACAGAAGCGGTACGTCTCCCACACACGTCGTCATAATTAAATATAAAACGCTATCAAAGGCAGTTTGTTCGTTTTACTATTTTATTGATATCATTCGAGGTATCGATCTATCGTTACATACTGAGGCACTTCCGATGTTAACTACCTTTCCGTTCATTTTTATTTTATCAATTTGAGATCATAAAAGGAAGTGATATAAACGACTTATATTTAATTTTTTTTTTATTTAAGTGTATGCTAGAACATGTGACGTGTCACAGACAGATATGAGATTTAAGATAACTAGCGCCAAACAACGATTCGCGGGCTTCGAGATTCGGATTCGGGGCGGCGACACTCGTACTATAATAATAATGCAGCCACAGACCCGCGACATGACATTCCAACAAATCGACAACGCACACACGAAAGAAATCATAAAGATAATAATAATGACAATGATCAATCGACAGCGAAATGGCGATCTATGAACGAGACAAACTTAAATTTAGATTATACATTCCTAAAATACTGTTGTGTTATGTTAGATATTAAAAATAATGATATAAGTCTATAACTAGCGATAAGGGATTCGCATCCGTTCGCCTCATCGGGACCACTTCGTTCCGCCCGCTTACAATAATTTTTTAAAAACAATCTTCCCTATCCGGGGATTCCGTACCTTACACGTCACAACTCGAGCTAGTATTGCATCGACACCGTACTATTTGTAAATCATCACAATTTCCGGTAATATTTCTGGCAAGAATACGTGATACAGAACCCCATAACTCCCGTTTTTAATATTTCTAATGTTTTTATTTGTTCATTGAAATATTAGAAATGGGCTAAAAATTTATAATACATGACTAAATGTTAATAAAAATAGGCCATATTTAAAAGGTGTCAGCAATGTTGCTATGTACCAGTGAAAAATAACAATTTGGGTTAATTCTTAAAGCACGATATAACTAAGGAATTCATTTGGTGTCGGATATTGCGCCGGGGCGATTAAATAGGTAAAACACATTTTATTATTTTCAGTACTTATACAGGGTTATTTGCAAGACACCAACAACCTGCGGCAGCTAATATCATAAATGACACGCTAGCTATGAAATTGGATTAATCGTTATATTTTACTTTCATATAAAAATAAAATTTAATTGAATTTGTCGTTATAACTTTACGAGCATCAGTAACAGCGCACGAACGTTTCGAAATGACGACATTTCGTTTATGAATAAAGGTCACTACAGTACAATAAAAGCTTGTAAATTCATTTTTTTGTTCTAAGTATTGAGTCATGTTAAAACTTGTAGATAAAATGCTGCCGTTTATGTGTTAGCTGTTTAGTCGTTCAAGGCTGCCGTTGTACCTATTTTTACAAATAGCCCTGTATATTTATAACGTGGCAACACCGACGCTCTATCCGCCAGCACAGCCCGAGCCGGTCGCCCGGCCACTTCGACTTCACAAACATCCATGCACATTTATACACCTAATATATATTTTGCGTGTATTTGAAGCATATTATTTTTTGTACCCAGGACTACGACTAAATCGCGCTATCCACCTCGCATGGGGGATGGATATGTTAAAATGTTGAATCATTGTTTTATACTTTAAATACAAACATTTTCGATATTTCGAAACATAGAATACACAGATTCGATTGTTTCGAGGAGTGATGAGCGACTATCGAGACTATTTATCGAACACAACTCGGCAACATAAAACCATTTCAAGAGAATTTCACAAGATGCTATAATTGGTGTATTTGATTCTCAATATATCTGTTAAATTTTTAACTACTCCTACACAGCCAGCAAACGATCGATCAATAAATACAATAATCGGTTTTTCTCACTAAGCAATTAGGTGTTTTACTTAGGACTCGATATAAAATCGGTATAATGTTCTCTTAATATCGATAGTCGGGCATCACTGGTTCCAAGGGTAGTAATTCCTTTATGCCAGCCGGCCGTACGTCGATGTCGGGTCGGGTGGTCGGCACGGTGGGTAGGATGATGCTCCAGTATATAATGTGTGGATGACGGTATGCAGTAGAGGCGCAGTGTCCGGGCGGTAGTGAGCGTGGCGCGGCGTTTACCCGGAGGCGGGCGGCGCGTCGCTGTCGGCGCGTGCGCTCTTGTTTTGTCGCACTAATTCTGCGCGTCGCTCCTGTTATATATTATAACTATTACATGAAATTGTAGTGAGATAACCGGTAACTTTAATGTGTATAAAAATCGCACGAGGATTTGTCTAAGTACCTAATTGATAATAAACCACCGGACTTTAATAAAGTTGCGCTCGAATTCTAAGTATTTCACTTTTTTGAAAGGTTATTCTTTTATATATTTCTCAATATACTAATGCGATGGAAATAATTGGCAGCTTGACTGTTTTGGGAAAAGCAATCGAAAACTTTCATAATAATTTAAACCACTTTCAGACTTATTTCTCCAAAACGTGAATATGTATTAATAAAGGAAAAAATATTTTAATTCATGGAATTGTCATGCGAATACCACCAGTCACGTTACATGTCGAGCCGTGACTTCATATTTCAATGAACATGAGTACTGATTGCACTCACAAGAAAAATATAGACGGTAGACATTTAGTTTATTGAAATGTGACGTCACATGGTTATTATTATAATTATAATATGGCTGCAAACTTCGCCCGTTCACCGCATTGTAAACCAACCTCCTTTTTAACAAAGTCCAGTTTTCTCTGCATCTCCTTCTCGCGGTTGATTTCGGCAGCGGTGAGTTTTGTCTCGATATCTTTAGTCATCTCCTCGACCTTGGCGGTGATGGACGAACGAGCTTCCGCCAATTTAGAGTTCTACGTGACGGTGAAATGAAATAGTGTGATGAAAATGATTTTGCAAAATATAATGGACATGCATAAATAAATAACGAAATCACTTTTGTATGAATGACCTCACGTATTTTGTTGATATAGATTGAGACACAAAAGAGGTACTATCACAATCACGGATCGGTGGATCACAATCAGGGTCGGAGACGGGAATAAACATTTCATAACGTGTCTCGTTGCATCGTGAAAAATAAATGAGTTCGGATAATCGAGGTTCGGATAATCGGGATTCTACTGTAACTACATTTTGTAATTTTTTCTGTTTTAGTATTTCTTACTGTAAAATAGGCAATAATTTTTCAAAATAACAAAATTGTGGAGTAATTTCTTTTTTATATTCAATATATCTAACATAACCTAATATTACAAATGTAATTTATTGTTTTAAATTGAGTATTATTATTGTTGGCAAGCGAAAGAATTGATTTCCATAAAGGCAACACCTTATGTCTACTATTTTTATAGGTCATGGGATTTCTGGAACAATTATAGAATAGAGCAACAAAAAAAGAATATCTGCGGTCTGATTTTTTTTGTATCCTTGTTATCTTTTTACTTTTTATAATTTCAACAAAATCTGTGATCTCACTCAATCCAAAACTGAGTCTCAATAAAAATGATTGAATGCAAATATCTAATGAAACTTAATGGATAAGTGTAAGCTTATAAGTTTTAATTGCAAATCTGTGAAGCGTTCTATCGACGAGATTCGGACACTATGTCAATCGGCTGACATTGTAGCTCTTCAGGAAACATGGCTTCTACCAGAAGATTTACCGTTCTTGGGACAAATACACCATGATTTTGATTACACCGGGAAATCAGCCGTGGATACTTCCGTTGGTATACTGAGAGGGAGACCGTATGGCGGTGTTGCAATTTTGTGGCGTAAACATGTCTTTAAATCTATAAGTGTGATAGAGTGTGTTAGTTCGCGTCTTACTGCCATTAAAGTTAATCTAAGTGACTATTCAATAATAGTGTTCAGTATTTATATGCCTACAGATTCTGTTGAAAACCTAGTTGAATTCACACAATGTTTAGGTGAAATGAACTCAATTATCGATTCTAGTGAGTGTGGAGCTGTTTTTATGTTAGGTGACTATAATGCTCATCCGGGTGAGTCTTTTTACAATGAACTTATAGATTTTTGTGAAGAACAGGACTGGTTGTGTTCGGACACAATAAAATTAGGTATTGAATCTGGATGTTATACCTACATCAGTGAGGCGCACGGGTGTAGGCGGTGGCTAGACCATTGTGTTGTAACACAGTCTGCTTTTAACACTATCGCTAATGTTGATGTGATATATGATGTTTTTTGGTCTGATCATTTTCCCATTATCTTAACTTGTAACTTGAATATCATTAAATCGACGGTACGTCCAAACAATGCTAGTTATAGTAAAGTAATATGGGGTGAGAGGGATGTTGATCAGATTAAGGAATATTCTCAACTCTGTAATATTAAGCTACGGCAAATAGATTATCCTCAACATTTTGAGATGTGTGGTGATACACACTGTAAAAATTTGGAGCACTTGCGACCAATCGATGACATGTATATGAGTATTGTAAATGTTCTATCTGATGCAGCCAAGCAGACATATAATATTAGGCGTCGTTCAAATAAATATCGACAGATAACGGGCTGGAATAAATACGTACGAGAGGCTCACAGACAGGCCAGGCTTAAATATCAGATCTGGCTCTCCTATAATAATAAACATCTGGACTCGTGTACAATGAAATGTCTTTAAGTCGTAAAATATTTAAAAGCAAACTGAGATGGTGTCAGAGACATCAGGAAAAAATAAAGTCAGACATTTTGGCATCTCATCATAAAAATAATAATTTTAAGAAATTTTGGATGGCCACCAACAAATTCAATATTAAGCCTGGCCTGCCAGTTAGTGTCGGGGGTGTTGATGAACCGGTGTCGATTGCAAACATGTTTGTGACTCATTTTAAGTCCGAGTCGCCCTTAGGTGCGTCGCTGGGGATGATCGATGATGGGGCCTGTTGTGATACTGATCTCATTCGTTTCACTCCTCAGCAAGTGCGTGACGTGATAAAACGAATGTCAAAAGGTAAATCACCGGGTCACGACGGTCTCAGCATCGAGCATTTGCAGCACGCAGGTCCTCACTTGGCTAGGGTCTTGGCTATGTTGTTGTCTCTTTGCATGTGCCATTCCTACCTTCCCAGTGAACTCATGCGTACAGTAGTTGTACCTTTTGTTAAAAACAAAACCGGAGATACGAGCGACAAAGGTAACTATAGACCCATCTCGCTGGCCACGATTATGGCCAAGGTACTGGATAGTTTGTTGGATTGTCGTCTTAATAAGTATTTACACATACATGATGCTCAGTTTGGCTTTCGGTCAGGACTTTCGACAGAGAATGCAATCCTAGCTTTAAAGCACACGGTGCATTATTATACCAAAAGAAGGACTCCTGTCTACGCCTGTTTTCTTGACCTGTCTCGTGCTTTTGACCTCGTATCTTACGATGTGCTGTGGACTAAGTTACGGGACATCGGTGTACCGGCGGAATTGTTGCGGATCTTACAATATTGGTACTATAATCAGGAGAATAATGTGAGATGGGGTAACGCGCTTTCAGACTCATTCAAGTTGGAGTGTGGGGTGAGGCAGGGTGGTATGTCCTCTCCTCAACTTTTTAATCTTTATATCAACGACCTGATCGTTGGGCTCAGCAGCATGAAATTGGGGTGTCGCATTGATGATGTAAGTGTTAATAATATCAGTTACGCTGATGATATGGTGTTGCTGAGCCCGACGGTGAGGGCGTTGAGAGAGCTTTTACTGATGTGTGAACGCTACGCGGTTACGCATGGTCTCATATACAATGTTAAAAAAAGCGAATATCTTGTGTTTGGGGCTGCCGGTAGTAAATGTCCATCCTATGTACCTAAAATTTGTCTGAATGGTACGGAACTCCAACGTGTATACCGATTTAAATATCTCGGACATTACGTGACCGATAGCCTTAGAGACGAGGTTGACATTGAGAGGGAGCGCAGGGCGTTGGCAGTGCGCTGTAACATGCTGGCTCGTAGATTCTCCCACTGTAGTATTCCAGTCAAATTAACACTTTTTCGAGCTTATTGTCAAGTGTTCTATACGAGCAGCATATGGACCAATTATAGTCAGCGCGCTCTTAATACACTGCGTATCCAATATAACAATGCTTTTAGAGTACTGTTGGGGCTGTCTCGTTTCTGCAGTGCGTCAGGTATGTTTGCACAAATGCAGATAGATGATTTCTACTCTATCTTGAGAAAGAAAAGTGCTTCGTTGCTCTTCAGAGTGCGTGACAGCTGCAATTCTATTCTTCAAGTCATAGGAGGACGATACGATTCTCCTATTGTAGTACATTGTGTCCGGAGATGTATTACTGGCACAAAATTAGTTTCTAAGTAATTGTAATCGATACTAACACTAGATTTTAAGTGTATTTTGTGTAAAACTAACAAAAAAAATATGGATTCTCTAATGTTGTCCGAAATAAAAATTATTATTATTATTAGACATCATATAAACATGATTTAAGCCAAAAGGTATATTCATGATTTTGAAAAGGTAAATAAAAAATGCACTACAACAACTCAGATTCGAAGCAATATAGAGGCTATGTATTTATAGAAATATAGTTTTATATAAATTGACCCAAACGGCAAATCGAATCCAGAAAATTTTAATGTAATGTACATTAAAATTGGAATTGAAACAGGTAGACCACACAAAAGTAATGCTAATATAAACTAATAATATGAAATGGTTTGATGAAAATGATAATGGTAATAAGTTAGCTTCTCATTCTGCTCGGCTTTCAGCTGCAGGAATATGCTGCATCTGTCCTGGACGGTATATGTACAACACTCACATAGTTGCGCAGTTTCTCCTTCTGTTCGGCCTCCAGCTGCAGACCTGGATGATACAGTATATGTATAACACTCACATAATTGCGCAGTTTCTCCTTCTGTTCGGCCTCCAGCTGTACGCGGCGGTCGGCGGCGTGTTGCAGCTTGTCCTGTATGGCGGCTTCCAGCTGTTGGAATCGCTCCTGATTGCCAGCGCGCACTTTCTTCACCTGCTCCTCCTGATCAACGTATACATAGAACATTTATATATTTTTTAGATGTATGGATTCTTGCTGGCTGCAAGCAACAATTAGCAAATTCTTAGAATAACATTTTAGATAAGTAATATCTCGTTTAATACCCTGTAATTTGCAAATAAATTGTTTGAATTGACTTTGACAATATGTTCATCAACCAAATGCAATGATTATTATTATTATTTTATTTTTTATTAACAGTATTAAACATACGTAAGTATTAAAAAGAAATTAATTAAATAGTGGGCATATTGACAAATAAATCAGTCGGACTCGCGCACAATGAGGCCTGCAAAATGGCAAAACATCACAATTGTTGTACAGGAGCACCCCTTAAATATCTACTTTATACTGTTTATATCTACTTTATATGTTGTAATAGCGGCAACAGAAATGCATAATCTGTGAAAATTTAAACTGTCCAACTATCATGGTTCATCAGATACAGCCTGGCGACAATCGTCAAGTACAAGTACACTAGGAATATCATTAGTAGCAACATGTTCAGTCATCTACTATTTTCTTCATCTCCGATGTTTGTACGTTAAAATAAAATACTATTCGAGAATGCCTAAGGCATTACGTCCGCCATTGTACTTAATGTGCATGAAGTAGTAAATAAATAAATATGATATAAAGTACACAAAGATTCAAATTTGTGCACTTATTCTCCCTGATTTGTGCACTTATTCCAAATTCTCCCTGGACAATTATAGTTATAGGAGTCTCACATGTTCACGGAGCCGCTCCAGCATCTTCTTGATGTTCTCGTCGCGCTTGTCCGCGGCGGTGGCCATCTTTTCCTCGATCGCCTTGTACACCTCAGCCGTCTGCTGCTCCAGCGTCAGTCTGCAGATCACCCCAGGGAATACTCATATGTTACTAGCCCCACCCAAGTTCACTTCATAACAGCCCGATGAGAATCACCACTTTATAAAGGGTTATGGGTAATTAGACAGGATCCTTTAAAGGGGTCATAGGGGAGATCGTTTACAATTATTTTCACCTCACATTATGTATCTAAAGTGAGCCATTTTTGTGATAAATTGTATTATTTTTGTCCTTAAAAAAAAACAAAAAAAATTATGGTCAGAATCTAATTTTGTTGACAGTTTTAGGGAGATAACATTCCAGTTTGTGATAATACAAAAATAATCTTGACCCAAACAGACACTACACAGTTTTAATAGAAAAAAAAAAAATTTTGGGTGGTGGAAATTTGCAAACAAAAGTACATTTAAAAAAAAAATAGCTTTCGGATATGCAACGTGGAGTGAAAATAATTATAAATGACCTCCCCTACGACCCCTCAATAGGATCCGGTCTAAAATCCATAACCCTGTATATTTATTTGTGCATTCTTTGTGGAAAATCTTATAAGTCAAATGTCATGTTATAATTATTTGTTGAGCATCGCTAATACTATTCAGCTTTTGACATATGCTGTGCTTCTGTGCCATCATATGGTTATTTCTAAAATAGATTTGTTTTTATTTTATTATTCTTATTACCGACATTGCACTATGCAACAAATTTGAAATAATTAAGTATTTATGAACTGTGTTATATTAATTTAAAGTAACTCTTTATTCATGATTTCGTTTGTCATTGTAATATTTTGTATATGACTTGATTGTGTTGTGAACTGGTATGAAGATGAATAAATAAATAAATTTAAACTATCATTGATGTGTGCTACATCGTGCGAGACGTAGGTAGTATTATAATATCTATGGCCAAACGGAGCGTTTAATGTTTCATTATTATGTGACGTATTATGACCTGGTTTTCTCGACACCCTCCAGATGATCCTTGAGCCTGGCGCGCAGCTCGTTTATGTACGCCTCGCGTTTCTCCTCGTGCGTCTCCATCTTGGCGTCGAGCGCCTCCTTGGTGGTGCTGATAAAGCTGTTCGTCTGCTCCATGCGGATGCGGGACGCCTCCTCGATCCTCGCCATCTTCTGTGCGATCGCTGCCATTCTGCTCGCTTCCAAACTCTGAAAATGAGTAATATATTGAATCTCATCGTGATACTAAACAAGGTTTACTGACAGTGGCGTAGCTACCAAGGGGCTAGGCGGGGCAGTGCCCCATGGACCTCAAGCTCAGGGGGCCCTTGAATCCTTACCAGAAAAATCTCAATCGAACTCAACTTTTGAAAATTTCTCCCATTTTCAAAATAAATATGACAGGTGGCAACTCGAGTTTAATCATGGCAACTCAGTTGTGAGAAAATCCAAAGTTATAAAAAAGAAATTCCCCTAAATTATTTGTGTGGGTTGACAGTGTTATTAATGTTTTCATCAATTTGTCGGATATCAATATCTGCATATTATTATTTATCGAATAGTTTTATTACCTGCCCATGTACGAAAAAGAGCTGATGATAAAGTTGCTTAGCATTTTAAAGTATTTGTATATTTAATGATTTTACTTCAAAAAACCTTACCAGTTTTGATAGCAGTGGGCCCCATTTTTTTATTTGCCCCAGGGCCCTAGGTACCTAGCTACGCCACTGTTTACTGATCTAATTTTAAAACTTTGATTTATCTTTTCTTTAATAGAGTCTACAGTAAAACTCAATAGGAATAATTTTATATGCTTCGGTAAAAGTCAAGACGATCGGAAATATTTCACAATGAGGATACACAGTGACAATAAAATTCTGACAGAAACAGTTTAGTTTGACGACAACGGTGACGTTCGGTCTGCAATAGCGGATGATTCGATCAAAAGAGAAGTGATAAAAATTTCATGATCTCTCGGTTCGTAAAGCGCTAACCGACAACCGACCGTAAATCGACATCTGTAGTTGACACCCACCGAATCGAGGATGTAGCAACAGAACGTTTAAAAAAAAAATTTAATAATAATATCGATGAGTGAACAAAGTGAAACTAGTACATACACGTCTCCTCTCCTCGGCGGCCTTGAGCTTCTCCTGTATCTCCTCGACGGAGGGCGTCTTCTCCGGGGAGTCGGGACGGCGCGGCGCCGGCACTCCCACGGGCTCGGCTAGGATCACCTCGTACGCGAGACCACCCTTCGACATTTCCTGGCAGCGGATTTCAGTCGCTGTCAAAACGTAAGAAATGAAACTTAAAAATTCATACTTGAAATATAGTCGAAGGTCTGATTTAGGGTGGCCTGATTTATTTTCAGCCTATCTATAAGTAAGGCGATAAAAAAAATAGATTTCGCCCGGTACACATTTTTTATTTTATTTTAGGACCACAGAAGTTTTATCAAATTATTCATGTGTAGCAATTTGTAGGAATCAGTTTCAATTAAATTAGAGTTAGATTTAGCTCTTTCTATAAACACGTTTCATACATGAGGCGAAGTCAATCCCATTGGTAGACAATTGCCCGATAGACTATGCAAAACCCAAATTTCCCCACGCTATTTGAAACCTTAATATGTACCGTCAATAATAGTCAAAATCGATTGCCATCCGACATATTATGTTAATTGTATGTACATTTAAAACTATGCTTCAAACGCGGCATGTCTCGGGAAACATAACACCTCTGGCAAAGCTAATTTGATTATACGTATATTGGTTTGACTACAGGTATCGCCAGCTGTACTCCAGGCAAGGGGCCATTCATTTATTACGTAAGACTATTTAGGGGGGGGAGGGGGGTCAACAACGTCTTAGTTTTCTTACAAGGGGGTGGGAGGGAGTCTCGATAGTTCTTACGTAAGATCAGCAAATGGGGCTGATGTGGAATGGGTGGACGTCAACGACGTCACTATCATGAATGACCGACTAGAAGCAACACCTTTTATTAGAGATGTTCCAGTGGTAGATCCACTTTCCGAGTGGGTTTTGAGTACCTGGACTGAAAATTTTATGAAACATTTATGAAACTAAAGATTTTTTTAAACTACCTATAAATGAAAATTATTGGTACCTTTGTAAGTAAAGAAAAAGATTTCAAAAAATTATTTCTTTGAAAAATAAACATTAAAACAATCCAAAACCAGTACTATTTTTTCTTTCAGATTCTTACGTAATATATATTAAACAGAGGGGGAGGGGGTCGGCCTTTTCTTATAATAGGCGGGGAGGGGTAAAAACTAGCGAAAAGTGTCTTACGTAATAAATGAATGGCCCCCAATTTAATCCATTTAATAGATATAAAAAATAGGTTTGTACAGTTAGGAAAAAAAAAAAACAAATATTTCTATTTATTCATATTCAAAAATATAAAGTGCAGACATTAAGTAAAATACTTTATACTATAGTATGAATGGCAACAGAATCGAAAACGACAACGGAGAAGGCTGATCATATCCAAGAAGAAACAAATGAGATAAAGGTAGAAAGAAATAAACACATTCTAGAGGAATAAAAAAAAATGTCTTCTATGAGTGATCGCGCCAGTCGTTTGCAAAGAATAGACTGGAAAAAGTTCTGCTTATCCGAGTTATTAACATGCTTATAAACGTTGAAAAATCAAAATTAATCTTATTTGACAACATGCCAGTCAAGACGAGTACGTCAACTTCTTTATCAGGCTAGTTCGTCAATTTTTCTCTCAAGAGTAAACTTTTGTTATAAACTTCTTCTAACTAATAAGAATAGAATCTAATAACGCTATTATAATAATAAAGCAATATGAAAGCTATTAAAATTATAACAGGCGCACAAATGTACAATTTCTCTTCTCGAGGGGCATAAAATTTTATATAAATATTAACCCATACCATGCCCATTTGCCGAGTGGAATTTTAAAACGCTGGGTGGCCTGAGAAATTCTTGCAGTGTTCAAGGTCGGCCGTTACACCCTAGCATAGCAAATGAAAGTCGGGAGAGCTCTGTTTAATTATAGCAAGGGTGGAGGAAATTCGCGGGGTGACTCACAAAATATCTTATTAGTAAACGTACAGTAAAATGTACCATATTTCCTTGGCACAGAGCTGTGTTTGTATATATGTTTGACTCATAGCTTATATTACGAATTGGGGTGACTAAGTTCGAAAGGTAATTGGTAAATTGTTGATTTAACCTTTTCAGTATCAATAGGCACACACAAAGAAACGTTAATGTTCAATGTCATATTTATGTAAAGACGAACCGTTAATATTTTTAAACTTGGCCAAATTAATACTGAATGGGAGTGACGACGCAGTGTTTGAAATGAATTTAGATCAAAGTCCCTGAAGGTTGAGCACATAAAAACTATTCAAATGGCATAGAAAGCAAAAATACCCATTAGCCAGATAGGCGAATGAAAGAAAAAACACGTTGAAAAGAATATTTGGTCATTCGCCCGGTTTGCGAAAGGTCGGAACTCCGATGTGGATTTTATTCCGTTCCCTATCCATGTCATTGCGCCCGACAATGAGATGAGTAACGACAAAAGATGGATACTCTTAAAATTACGTTGTACCTATATGATGAAGTTATACAATAATCGTATTGATTTGCGATAGTTATTTTTTTTTAACGCGCAATAAGACATCCTCTCCGACCTTATCTGTCCCAATGACGCGGTCGTTGTGTTCTTGTTTTTGGTCTTGATGCCTTAACTCAAACTATAACACGATATCATGTGTTCAGTCTAGTCTTATTAATTTTTCGGTGTAGTCTAGGCAGTTATATGTGCTTATGTACTTGAAATTACCATACCACAAGTTCGCCGCAGACCCTGCACTGGGTTGCGACGGCTGTACTCTTCAGTCATGATCCTAGCCTTATCAATATTATGGCAATATTTCGTTTCATTCTACTTCTTTGACATGCCTTTTAGTGGATAAATTAGGGATAAAAGTGCTAATTTGGTAACGCTACTGTCAAATCTACAATAATCATTGTTTATTAGTCATTACAAAACATGTTAAGGTAGTAAATTGTAACGAAATATGGACACAATCGAATCATAGGTAGAGAGATAGGCGGTCGCACTCCTGAACTAAGAATTTTTCACAACTGTGAAAATAAAAGCAATTCTAAATAGGTAACAATGTCATCATATGAACTAAAACAATACGCTTATTTAATCAAGGTCTTGATTACCTATACAAAATCATATTGGAAAAAGGTACTAAACATATGGCTACAACGCTTAGGAACCTACAAAAAGCTAAAAGTGAAAATCAATGCTAAGCGAAAACGAAATAATAACGTCAATTTATTTGAAACAAAACGGTGGGTGAAAAACAATTCATGTCAAATAAAAGTGCGCAGAAAAAGGAGAAAAACACAACCATAATAAGCTTTCACTTATTTACTTGCTTAGCCCACACTTACTTATGAATTTGACTTTCTTGGGTTGCTTAGTCCTAGGTTTGCCGAGTGGTTTCTTTACTGGCGCCGATCTCCGGTGAGCTAAACATAGAGATAAGTCAGCAGTGTCTGTCAGCAGTCCCAGTCCTCACTCGCTAAGACATGTCTACACCCATTGACGTGATAAATTAAGAACGGCAATCCAATACACCTTACTAATTAAGCAATATATTGTCAAGAAGTCTACATAATAACACCTATTATATCGGTGAACATTGTTGAGAAGAGTTTGATTTTCTTGGTTATCAAACCAGCAGCCCGACCGCATTTTAATTGCATCCAACGCCAACCAAATGGAGAAAATGCAATATAGTTTATTCAGTCTAGACTGTTCAAGCACTTGTGAATGTCCAAAGCTATGCCTTCTACGGCCGAAGGTCTCCCGCCGTATATGGCATAGGTATTAAGAAGAACCAGCAAGAAACTTAGCAAGGGTTGCTTTTTTTCTTGTATTCAATCTGGTTACGTGATAGGTCTGCAGAAACTTTTTCACCATACTTTATTCTGTTTTTAGAATTAATAGCTTGAGTGTGTGTCGTTACCATGATTGAACAATTCTTACACACGCCCCTAGAGCTATTATTATTACGTTTATGTCATAAGGTGTACGTAGTGTAAGTATGGTATTTTAATACTAGCAATTTGGAATTGTGTAAGTGTTATTACATCAGCAACCGTCTATCAAGTTAGGGATATGGAGATGAATTTTGAAAGGAACACATGATTCCTCCTCATAAATGGACAGAATAAACAATGTAGACTGTAGATCGGTGCAAATCTACGTTATGCATCTCATGAAAGTATGCGTCCGTCGAGTATACAAAGTTGAATGTTATATCACACATTTCTCAAATCTGTTGCGTCGCATCTTCTATCAGATATGAACCGACACTTAAGGTGTGTTAAGAAAGAAGTGAAGGTTGGCGAAGACGCCTTATAGAGATATGAAAGAAGTAAATATAGAACATCATTGGAAGATGACCTAAAGTGAATTTAAGAATAGGATAAAGTGATAGCATTTTGTAATTCTGCTGCACACATATTCAACACACGAAGCCGTATTTAGATGTTATAATTGGAAATGTAAACCTTTTTTATGCGTTATGCATACGCGCTCCCCTCTAGCGCGTGGTCGGCTGGTTGAGTAGGACTCTCCCCTGCGGACCCACCCTAGAATGGGGTAGTCAAATAGTAGGGGTATATCTACTGAAACCCAGCGATATCCCTCTCCATAGAGGCGATGCATAGGGATAGCCCGAAGACCACTTCCCGTGCCGTTCGCCCCCCATTTCGGCCCACCCCAAATTTTACTATAGCAACAGCACAACGGAGTAAATAGGCGCGTCATGAGCACGATAATAAAACATTGCCCACCCAGTACCAGTCAACATTACCGCAACCGCCGAAGAGAATCGAAAAACGATTACCATAGGGCAATTTGATCGAGCGATGTTTATTTGAAGAGGCATTCGGACGCAAGGTAATGAATCAAACGGCAATCGGCAATCGATGTTAGCGTGACCGCTGAATATCGATTCATGTTTCGCGAGTGAGCAAAAAGTAATCGATAGGAATTGTCGCAGTCGTTCTTACTTTAAACGAATCCCAAGTGCACAAGTTATCACCGTCAATAAGATTGTACCTTTGCAAAACATATATTTGGGATTTAGTACTATGGAAAGGAAGGTAGCGAGTAATAAAATACACAAAGGTATCCAAATTCGTCGTGTTGAACAGTACAGCGCTGGGGTAATAGTTGGGAGGTAATAAGGGGTCGGGCCGACAGCGCGAGATGAGAGGCCGATACGTGAGGGGAATGGCAAAGTTCAGAAGAAATACCCCACAAATACGGATAATCCCTCACAGCAAGGCTAAGCTCCAGTTTACATGGCAGGCGACATAGACGACAACGGGACATTAATATTATAAATGTTTTCAATGTACGAGTATGATTACGATGATTTTTATAATGTACAAAGCAACTTGGGATTTTCAATCGAATAGTATAAACATGTAGGACGAATTATAAGAGGCTACAACTGAAACACGACTGCCAGCCCCCCTGGCGCCGCACGACATTACACGAAAAACTGATAAAATATTTAGAGCCAGGCTTTAAAGCTGTAAGGGGAGAGTATATAGTATATTTATTACCTCAGGGAATACCTTCGAGTGCATATTATGTGTGCAGCAAATTGTTTTAAATGTGTTAGAAACGTTTAAACAACTTAATGGTAGTAAGAAGCTAAATAACCATCCGTATAATAGAAACAAACACAACTCGTTAACAAAAAGAAATTAAGACTGTTGATTCTGTTTCACGCTGTTTGTGGCAATTTCGGTACTTTTCGAGCGTCTTGCCTTCTAGCATTAATCATGTTAGAACTTAAAATTGCTTCCTACTGATCGTAGTACATATTACGATGTTTAATAAAAATAAATGGTTGGCAAAGATGGAAATATAATACAGAATTGTAAATTTAATTAGCGAGTTTTTGCTTCGAACTTCATCAGATTTATCCAACGATAGCGATTACTTGAAAAAGCGACACACGCAAAGTATTTTAAAAACCGCAATGCATCATGTTTGATAACGTGGACGGAGGACACCGCTGGAGGTGGGGAAAAAAGCTCTTTTATACGCTGAATTACTTTCCTAATTCTAGTTTTATGGATTATTATAAATGCGATTTAAAAAACATTCTAACCAATTTTGTCATTAAATAAATTGCTAAACTCAAATTGTAAAAGATACAACATCAATTGAATTATATGTATCAAAACATAAAGGGACAGACGACCCTTAACCGCATATTGCTACTGAGATCAAAAGGGGTTCTAAATTCGAAGAGCCAATTATTCGAGTGTCATAATAGCCCCCGAACAATTATGTAATCCAAACCCCTCGACGACTCCGCAAACGGCGTGTTGACAAATTGAATCTATATAAGATTTTGATGTGACACGCGCCGCAACTTGTATGGCTAATTATGTCAGTAATTTAATAATGTGAACGGATTTTGAATAAACTAGACAGGATACCGCATAATATGATAAACAACAATAAAGTTAGTGCTTACAGGGAACTCGCGTGACTGTATGTAATAAGACAGACAACGATAAGAACCGACTCGAAAGCGCTCGCAAAGATATCTGCATTCAAAAAAGCTTAGAGCTCATTTGCAGTATTCATTTGGTTAAATAAGAAAAGCTTTTGATAAGATCTAAGACCTTTTCGAACATACGTCAATCCAGGCTTAGTTGCGACAAAATGGACGTATGAACAGTGAACACGTTCATAGGTGTAGGACATATCATACAAAATGGTCGCCATAATGCAGTACTTGATTATGGATTAACAATACAGGCGCTTATTTTTAATAATATAACGATGCAGGAAGACGATAGTAGCTTAACTCCAGATTAGCAGAGACATAGACGAGAGTTAAGTAAAATATGTCATCTCATCCAGAAAAGCACGATAAATAAAATATATCAAACGTATAAAAAATCCGACAGTTGTGGACGAAAATTCTTGTCAAATCACCGTTGTTAAATACTTCTACAATAAGAAATATGTTGTGGAATCTTTGCAATTCCTATGTAAAGCTTGTCATTAGTATGATGAAGCCGGCCGGCATCGACATGGCACCCGCTGCATGCCGGCCGGCATTTTTGACACAGATGTCCGATCAGCTTCGATTAAGGACAAAACAACAGTTCTCGTTAAGTAATATAGTGTAACGTAGTAGTCTTTAAAATTATACTTGTAAAACAGACAAATCTTTAGAACTTATCATACGTAACCTTGACTTAAACCTGGGTTACATTAGGCACCAACCTATTCATATTATGATCTACAGAATGCTAAGCGACCAGGAAACAATACTGTAAAAAAGTTACATCACGTCAATAGGCTTATGTCGTCTTAATGAGTGAAGACAACTTCTCAGATCAAACACGATATTTCCAAGATGTGCTTGTATCTTCAGACCTGCCGGTAATACGGGTGCACGGCATGAGTGGCAGAAACACTGCATCACCGAGTCCCGGACGAGTCCTATCAGCATGATGATAGATTCGAATTGACTATCTAACGAGAGACGGAGTCGCGTCGCGGCGCTGGCGGACTGCGCGACTCTCGCCCGGAAACTGAACCATGCTGGGGGGAGGGTAGCCGGTCGATAGCCGTACCCCGCACCCCGCAGCCCCCGCCCTGCGGACCCACCCCGCAACACCCCTTGCGCGCGATGCCGTCCCTAACTTGATAACCCGCACAAGAAAATAAGCCCACCAAATGGAAAAATAATGTCGCCCAAGACCTTCTATTACGTTATGTGACATCTCTGAAGGTAATATCATATTCAACAACATATTAAGTAGATATTGCATATACATATTTCAAGGATGAAATCAAAATGTTAGTAACAAGGATTCATAATCGGATATACACAATTTATAATCTTTAAAACTCTTTCCTTAAAGCTAGGTTCGCTTGAACAAGATAAGCTCACCTAGCAACTAGGGAGAGTAGGATAGAAGAAGACAAAACTAATTTAAGAGCCGCCTAGACTTGTGCTAGTCTCGACGGGCTTCTCGCTCATAAAAACCGCTGAGCTGCGGGGGTAGGTAGGGTGCATTCGTGGAAGGGGTGTGTACGGGGGTACCATGCGGAGGTTCCGCCGCCGTCTCGGCGCCGCCACCCGCAGCCAATTAACAGCCGGCAACGCCACGCTGAATTTGTTTCGCCACTTGAATTGCTTCCGATTGATTTGCTATTCCGTAATTTCAAGATGGGAGTTCTTAACACCTTACCACTTCAAGCTGGTGAAGGTAAAAAAAGAAAAAAGTGCCGCTCGGTTACGTAAAACAACGTCAGATAAATTACCGTAATCTTTCAATTCCATCCAAACAAAATAGAAGTCAAATAAACCGAATGACATAAATATCATATTAGCGTAGACGCAGCCAAAATTTATGACTAGTTGTAGAACGTGGTGTTAATACAAATACGAAAAAGGGAGGCATTACTTCCTCCCAGCTATATTATTCAGAATATACTCAGTGGAGTTTTAAAAAACAGAATATACAAAAACTGCATTGGCCATGGTGGCGTAACGTAACCCTGTGCACTGGTAGCACCGCGGCCGTGGTGCGCCATGGATCGATCCCGGCCGACAACCCCGAGAGAACGTCCCCCTCCAGTAATAACTGGGAATTCCAGGAGTAAGCCACAATCAACCTTTACTATTCATAGGTGGCACTGACAAAACTTTGGAAATACCGGTTTATGGCGTCAGCCAGACTGCCGGCTCCGACGTTGACACCGAGCCGTTCGTCATGGCTAGGATTATCTATTCAAACTAATTAAAATTCTAACTGAAAAGGATTTTTGCAATGCACCAGAGAAAAACTATTTTGAATTAAAGAAAAAAAGTCATATTAGAGTACATTACAGACTTTATAATAAACAGATGTAATTTTACGGAGATCATTAAACAATTAAGGAGAACACCAACGGCATTTTACCTCCAAGAACTTATGTACGAGCAGATGTATATCAGCGTGGTGACAGATTATTTACGTTGATAAAAGTTAAATTAGATAAATATATAAATCTAACAACAATTCTACGAAAAGGCTATTGCTGTATCTTATATTATGTTGTTTGTGCCATATGATATTATTTTAGTGAAACAAAAAATTAAGGACCAATTTCATAAAGAATGCTTCGTGAAAGAATATTCGAAAATCTTGAATATTCAAATTAAGTGAATATTGCATGCTGTACCCTCGATATAATTATAATAATAAACAGCACGGCAAAGGGTGTTATAGTGACACCTTAGTTTAACACCTAATACGTTTTTCACATCGAGGAAGGTCGCTAAGACTATTTCTGTTTCAAGAGATAGTTACTGTTGTGAGAATGTGACTTATGTTATGTCTAGTTATGATCCATCTTTAATAGGTATCTCCATAGCTGCATTAGCTTTTAAGGTATAGCTTTGTCTCGTTTCAAGAAGCGGCAACAAGTTGGGTCACGTGCGTCCTCGGATCGAGATTTGCTGAGAACATAATTCGGAGACAGGCCCGCCCGCGATGTTATTCATATTGATTTTGCCATATTGGAAGTATGGTTTAAATTACCTGAACCGAGTATTTCGATTAATATTTAAATATTCGAAGTACCTACATAGATTTTGATATTGCTATGTTAGACCTTTCGGTTTAGTCAGTCACTAGAAAAGAAATTTTAGTGGAAAATGCTTAAGATCTTATTTCTTACTCAGCCAATATAATACTATATGCAAGTAAATTTCAAATGAAATACATTAATTCACCTTTACATTCATCTACATTTTGCAATGACATAGACAGCTCCTGGAATAATTCCTTTAATTTCGTAGGATCTGGAATAATTCCTTTAATTTCGTAGGATCTAAATATGAATAGTTACATAAATACAAAGAGATATACTCGTAAATATAATTTTAGATGAAGATTAATAGTCTGAGCTCCAAATTAATTAATATAAATTAGATAAAGCATAATGAATTAATATTATTTTCGGATATTTTTTAGAAACTAGTGGAAGTAGGTAAAGAAAGGTAAATGAATGACAATAACGTAAATAATGGCGATCAATATGATCATGTTTATAATAATCATCATAATTTATGTTCTGCAGTCTACATTATTATGTGACATCCTATTAATATAAATGTGAAAATTTCTTTAATTGAATGTTTGTCCGTCAATCACGCCGAAACAAATGAACGGATTTTGATGAAATTTGGTATACAGTATTAGCTGACTAAATAGTTCCCTAGGGACCACGCGGACGAAGCCGCTAGCGGTAAGCTAGTATTAAATAAAAGTGTGTAAGATACAGAGTAAATAGTGAATGAGGGTAGTTAGCTATAACCCAAAAACAAGAATTGTTAGAGAAAAAATGGTGCCATATTTAAAAATTACATGTCAAGACGAGATCCAATAAAAAAACAGAAAGAAAGAAACTTTTGATTGCTTTTGTTGACTAACGTAACTAATATACTTATATCAAATATTTCAAGAAGCAATAAAGGGAGAAAAGGAAGAATTGGGTGAAATATTGGAATGCGAACTCAGACATGCCGCCATGTGGCCATTACATAATAAGCACCTCCTGTGAAGTTTCATATGGATCGGATAGTCGACAAGTTTGTCATAATAGTAGTTCCAAATTCGTATTACTCTAATACTATTTCGACTTCGGTATTCAAGTTCAATAGTTGTCACATGTCAAATCACCGTTGAACATATAACCTTCTTTCGGATTTTGAAGTCTTTTAAAAATCATGGGGTCTAGAATTTAGTTGAAGACTTGTTTTGGACTAAAAAGTCTATAATCGTTTCTTATATTCTCACGCACACTAAATAAAACTACTTTTGACCAGAACTACTTTTTTCGAGATTAAAAAACATTCAAATTTTATGTGTCCAATTCGTATTATTTTGAAGGTAGTTTCTTAGTCTAAGGGTTAGTTGCACCAACTTACAAAATAATTTTATTTAATAAGGTTTTAATGGCTTGGAAATTATGACAATACTACGTAAATTACAAACAGGTAAGTTTTATATATCTATCGGCCGGTTTCTGAATTGAGAAAGTACAAAATCTCAACTGATTATTCTTAATAAATTAAGTTTTTTTACGTTTCATGTGGCAAAAAGTATTAGATTTACCAAATTGCTATCAATTGATAATTAAAAAATTATAAATCAGCAATGAAAACATGTTTTAATGACATTTAAAGTGGCTCAAGCACGGTTTGAGACGTGCTCAACTTCAAATTCTCAATTCAGAAACCGGGCGTATATCTTCTTATATATAAAAATCAATTGCTGTGAGTTTGTCTCGCTAAAACTCCGAGAATGGGTGGGTCAATTTAGCTAATTTTGGTTTGGTCATCTCGTCTATACTAATATTATGAAGAGGAAGAATTTGATTGTTTGTTTGCATTAAATAGGCTTTGTAACTATTGAACAAACTTAAAAAATTCTTTCACCTACGGGGCGCTATATCATAAGTGGTTGACATAATCTATAATCTAACAGCTAGTTATTGATATAAGCCGTTTGAATACAGATTACTATCCCTATTAAAATGATATTCAGAGAATCAATTCATCTTCTAAAGTTTTTCTATGTAGCCGTTTGTTTTATGTGTATATTTTATTACGCATTGCAGTCAATGTTGTATACTAAATAATAAATTCCATCGAATGGAGATATAGAATAGATACCGCGTTCGATCCGGTGGTACGGTGGCTGAAAGGGAGGTAGGTGTATTGTAATGACTCTGGGTTTTCTTCTAACATCATTATTTCAGCCCACCCTTCGTGTATATTTTGATTTAATGGCATTGATATCGATCCTCGAGCAAATTTTACGAATTTGTTTTGATATGTAACAGCTCTACCTTATACTAGAGGCATTTTTGAACCAGGGCGACATAACTCTACTAATCTTGACGATTTTGAATGCGCTCGTAATATAAACGATTAAAAATCAACGCCTTATCAGTAAGTTGTAGAGTTCTTTAACATAGTCAAAAGAGGTCAGCAATTATAGGTGTAAAGCGAATGACACACTCCACTAATCAAGGACAGACGTAGGTTTCATCCATTGAAATTCATAAGTAATTATAAATAATTGTAATATGTACGGAAGGGATTCGTTGAAATACGTTCAAGGTTCAACTTGCATGAAATGGGTCTAGGTAGTAACGTAGTTTTAAATATACACGTAAAATCAATAAATTGAATAGAACATGCAGCAAAACAATGCCAGATAATAACAATTGTTCAACGAACAATTATTTCTTTGTTCAGAATTCAGATGCTATCCACTGTCGATTTTTACGATAAAATATAATTATTATAACAAAGTTAAAAATATAATTAAGAAAAATTTAGTACTATTTCAATTTATTGCGTTTAGATTAAGACATTTCAGGTGGATTTTATCATTGAAATTATAGGAAGTTCGGATATAAAGAACAATTGCGTATGAAAACCGAAATAGCGCGATACTACCTAACTAAAAAAAATCTGAGTTTTAAAGGTAGAGAATATAAAATAACACTAGTCTAGCCTAAATATTACCAAGC